CCAGGATGTCATTTTGGATTTACCAGGATGTCATTTTGGGTGCCCCTTTCAGGGGTAGTCCGCTTCATTTCAGTGAATTGAATGGCCGCCGGCTCCGAGCTACAAGCCAATGTGTTTAGAGTGTCACCTGAAAAATAAAATAATTATTTTAATCTCTTAAAATTTCAGAAGAGTGATTTTTGTGACTCAATTTCACTTACGAAATTCATTTTACAAATTGAATAAGTTCGAGTGCTTTCTGGTTATTTGTAGATTCATTTTGGTACTATCCGGTTTCGACTATTAAACAAAGTAGATAAATCTAGGCATGGACTTGACCTGGCTTTGATCTGGCTTTGGCCTGGCTCTAGCCTGGCTCTAGCCTGGCTTTGGCCTGGCTTTGGTCTGGCTTTGACCTGGCTTTGGCCTGGCTCTAGCCTGACTTTGGCCTGGCTCTAGCCTGACTTTGGCCTGGCTCTAGCCCACAAGCCCTGACTCTAATTTATATATAACTGGATAGCACCGTTATCCCATCATCAATACCATCTATATTCGAAATGCTGATCGTTGAATCATCAGATCCACACGCGAACAGATCCGTCGACGAGAAAGCCCCGCATGTCACCCTTCTCTGATGTTTTCCCAGAATCGGAATTTTTCTTTAAATTCATTTTTGTGTACAAACACTTGCACTTTTTTCGTTTGTTTACCGACTAGTGCGATGGTTATAAATCAATAAGTTTCCATTGTTGTTCCCGACGACGAGCACTGGTGAGAGAGCGCTCCACATGACGAACACTGGCATCTCTCTAAAAAGAAATCGAAACTTTTCTTCACACTTTTTCTGTCATTTCTCTCAGATTGATTTTCAATATTTTCATCAAATTCAGTAGTTTTGAAAATTATTGTTAAAATTATATTTTCTTGTTTTTGTCTTGTCTCTTTGTCTCTGTCTGTCTGTCTCTCATTTAACAAGTGGATTGCTATAAGGTTAATATTTTTGAATCATCACTCTCTGGCATTTTTGTTTTTGAAAACAGAGAAAATAAAGGGCAAGATGAAGAATTGAAAGAAAGAAAGAAGAGAGAAAGAGAGGAGAGAGAGAAGAGAAAGAGAGAAAGAGGAGAGAAAGAGAGGGAAGGGAAGAGAAAGAAAGAGAGAGAGAAGAGAAAGAGAGAAAGAGGAGGTAAAATCGAGTGGGGCACGTGTCTGGTTGTCTGCGTGCCGTTGGAGGGCGCATGACGATTTTCTCTAAACCCTTGCCCCACTCTTTGTTCCCTTTCTGTAGGCGGGGCAAAAGGGGGATGAAGGCTGAGCAAAGCGCTCCTTTCCTCAGTGTCGCCCCGTTTGAGCTGCCGTTGTGTGCTCCAGGGGTGCGCTCCATCGGGCTCCTCCCTCTCTTCACATCACCAAAGTAAGCTTTACATTTGAGTAACAGTTTCATACACTACAAGCTCTTCTATGAGTGACTAATCTTTTTGCATGAGATTTGAAGCTCAAAGCATAAACTTGAAGTCACTGGAAAGCCAGCCACAGCTAGCACATTCTAAAATTTGTCTACTCTTTTGTTTTAGGAGATCCCGATGTAACAATCTGCACGAGTTCAGTCAACTTTTAAATCCCATCCAATTTTGAATTTGTTGGAAAGGTGGAAAGGAAGACTCCCGGCAAATGAATCGTTGTGGAGAAGAGGGAAATCGCTCTTATCCTTACAAATCACTCCATCAACCCATCAAGATCAATCTCTTGCCGGTAAATCTCTATGCAACGGTTCTATGTTATTGATCGACTCTGTTTAGGCTGAGTGCTGCTCGTGTTTCATCCCAGGGAAAACCTGGCAAAAAAAACAAAACTCGCTTTGTATCGTTGAAAGTACGCTACGCGGATCTGGGTAGAGCAAAGAGAATGGTGGGTTTCAAAAAAAAGTAAATCTTATTCAATTATAAAGCTGAAGTTGAAGAAAATGAAGATTTAGCAATATTATGGTGACACTGGATGTTTAAGTTCGAATTAACAATACTCAAAATCGAATTTCAGAATGCATCTGTCGGGTTAGACAATGCACTGGGTTTCCCAGCTGGTTTCCGATTGCAGGCTAGCATCGGCCTTAGATCTCTTGAGCTCAGAAAGGTATTCAAAAGATCGGAAAAATTTCTATCGTAATCTTTCTTTAGTTACCCATCGAGCCTTGCGAGCGTTTAATCTGTTTTCTTCGAGAAAATTCTCCGTGTATATGTGTGTATTTTTATCCTAAGTGTAAGTATTTTTTAAGGTTAATGGCTACAATTTTTTTTCTAGTGAGCCGATGGCCGAAACCGTTGACGGGGTTACGTCGCGTGTCAGTCACGCCTGGTTTGGCGGGTGGTGAGTGAATTTGGATTTGTTTAAAATGATAAAGTAGCACTAATAGTAAGTAGAATCTTTGAGCTATTCAATCATAGAATTTTTGCTCAAATTGTGACTAACGACGAGATTTTCAGCCGTGAAATGTCTAGAAGTCTAGAAACGGTTACCTTTTTCTTGTAGTTGCATAAATAGCTTGGTTCTATTGTTCCATTAAAGGCAAAATTGTAAAAGAAGGAGTCAGTGGGAAAGCCGAAAATCCCTTTTTTCAATTTTCAAAAGCAAAGTGGTTAGAGAGTGGACCGAACTGGACCGAACCAGGGATCCAATACTGACGCTGGATCTGGATGATACTTACTTACCACTAGACCACAGCTGCTATAAAGCAATGTGGGGAATTGAGCTGAAATACTGTCAAATATTGGGTCAAACTTTGATGTCAGATATCAAGATACAGAGCTTCATTAGAAAAACTAAAAGTAGATTCAGAATCCCTATTCAAAAAAACTATCAAATACATCAAAAAAAGGCCTTGGATCTTTCCCTAGTAAATAAAATACCTACCGTAAATACTGTAATAGTACTCCACCCCCTCGTACAGTCGCGTAGTCGCAAAAGTTTTTTAGTATTTCATTTTTTTCAAAGCGCCCGTACTTTCAAAAAATGCGTCTTTGGTATGAAAAAATAGCTGAAATTCAGGGCTATTTTTTGATACCTAAGCGCGCATTGTAGCATAAACCAGTGTCGAGAAAAACTCGTTCAAAGCTAGACTACGCAACACTCCACACCGTCATTATGGGGATGGGGTACTATTACAGTATTTACGGTATTATCTAATAATATACAATAATCTTATTAACTTTATCATTTTAGTAATCGCAGAAGACTCGAGATCGCTTCTCGCCGAGACGCGCCGAGCAGCGAATACTCAAGGACTGATTGGAAAAGGCACAAAAAAAATTCAGAAAATCAGAAAATCAGAAAATGTAGTAGAAAATCATGAAGTCAATGATGAAATTGAAAAATTTAGAATGAAAAATGTTGATGGAAATTGATGAATGGTTTAAAAAAAAAATTGACAAAAAAAATGAAGATCTCGACTTTCTTCCCTTGCTTCTTCTCCAAACCATTTTCACTCAGGTTAGTTGCAAATTTTGTTTCTATTAGTCGCAAAAACCTAGCTACATCGATGCTTTTCAGCTTCCGTGCCAGTGATCGGGGCTACGATCACTAAAACCATTCACATTGGTGGGTCTTCCGTGAATGGTGGCAACTCAGATCCACATCTTCGCTTAATCTCTAACCCTATTCTGAGGACCACGAGACAGAGCTTGTAAGAGCTAAAAAAAAAGCCTTCAAAGTAAGGGTTTTACTTTAAAACCTAAAAAACAATATGATTTTAGCAATGAACTCTCTCTAAATGGCTCAGAGCAAATCCTCAAGAGAAGGGACTTTGATTCTCGGTAGAAAAAAAAGAAAATAGTTCATTTATTGATAAGCTTTAGTTTCCTGGGAATCGCTACGAATGGCTTGTGCCCAGTGATGTTTTTTATTCATCTTTGTGCCGGGGTTACGGTCAAGGATTCCGAGAAATTCGAAGTGGCTTGTTTTCGCCCTTCGAGACAAACCGACTCTTTCTTCGGCGGTTGAACAATGTTTCTAAGGAGAACTAATGTTGGAGAACAATCTTGGAAAACAATCTTGGAAAACAATGTTGTTGAACAATGTTTCTTTCCAATTGAAGTCACTTTTCTGGATTGACTAAGCAGACTTTGACTAAGCAGACTTCGTTTCTCTCATCATCCGTCTCATCACCGAGATCGCATTCTTGCTCTCGAGTTTGGAAATGAGAAATTATTCAATCAATCATTCAATGAATCATCACCGATAAATTCATCAAATGTATTTTCTCCGACATTATTTCTTTGATGAATGTGATCGTTATCGATAACCCAAAAAAAATCGACCACTTTGCTGGCTTGATTGCTTGGTTACGGCTTGTTTTCGCTTGACAACGGTGAGCTTTTAAATAAACTTTTAATTCATATAACACTTTAAACCTAAAAGACTAAAAAAAACCTAAAAGACTTGAATTTTTATAAGATAAAGAAATCAAATGAATGCTTAGAAATGGGCTTTTCGTCAATTCTCATCGAAATCACCATTTCGCCAGACAACCCAGACAAAATGGCTGAGCTAAGAATGGTGGGAAATTATTAAATTATATAATATGATTAAAGATTAAAGACAAATGTGATTAAAGATTTTTATAAACGAAATTTCTAGTTTCTTCGCTGATCATGACAGGAAAAATCGAGTGGAATATCACCAAAAAAAATCTCATCGCTCTTCGCTTTTTTTTACCATTTTTTTTACATCATTTGAATAAAGATGCGAGAAAAACATTGTTGAAAAGGTTGCAAATATACAAAATGTAAAGTTATTTGAACAAAGCAGAGAATCGTTCAAGCCAGAAACAAAAGTGACAATAGAAGATGTTCAGCTTAAGCTGCTAAGCTGAACATCTAAACTAGAATCCATCTAAACTAGAATCCATCTAAGCTAGAGTCTATCTAAACTAGAATCTATCTAAACTAGAAGCTATCTAAACTAGAATCCATCTAAACTAGAATCCATCTAAACTAGAATCCATCTAAGCTAGAGTCTATCTAAACTAGAATCTATCTAAACTAGAAGCTATCTAAACTAGAATCCATCTAAACTAGAATCCATCTAAGCTAGAGTCTATCTAAACTAGAATCTATCTAAACTAGAAGCTATCTAAACTAGAGTCCATCTAAACTAGAATCCATTTAAACTAGAACCACTAAACAGACCACTAAACTAGATCTATCTAAACAGAAGCATCTAAACTAGGTCCATCTAAACTAGAATCTATTTAAACTAGAATCCATCTAAATAGCCACTAAACTAGATCCATCTAATAGAATCCATCTAAACTAGAATCCATCTAAGCTAGAGTCTATCTAAACTAGAATCTATCTAAGCTAAAGTCCATCTAAACTAGAATCCATCTAAGCTAAAGTCCATCTAAGCTAGAGTACATGTTGGAGAACTATTATAAGACTTGAAAAGGAATTCGATGTACATAAATCAGCAAAAAATAAGACAGAAGTTTGTTTTCTATTTGATTTTAACTTCTTTTTATAGGAGCGAGTCATTATAGCGGAAAGCTCAATGTTGGAATGAGTTTTAGATCGCTGGATTTGTTCTCAGGGCCAACACCAATCTCTTTACCATTTACCATCTAACAAATTTCTAAACGGATTTAGCACTACTGATTTTGCAAAATCGATTTAACAATTTACCATTTAGCCTTTAGCTAAATAGAATTTTGTTTCTTGTAGACTGAAGCTTCTGATGCTAACCAGGGAACCTTTCCAAGTTACCCACGAGTTACAATATGAGGTAGGCGTAAAAAGAAAGGTTAGGAAAACGAAAAAAAAACGTTAGGTTCAGAAACTGTTTTCAAAAACCGCTAATCGGCAAAATGCACAAAGTTACAGCCATCTGAATTTCGAAAAAATGAAGGCTTTTCTCGAATTTCTGGCACACTGATTTTTGCCAGCGGAAAGGCTTTCCTTTCGCCATCCCGAAAGTCAGCTCGTAGCCTAGTGGTTAGCGTGCCTGCGCTCGGAACTCTTTGATCTTGGTTCGGATAGGTAAGCTAACAAATTCAATCAGCAAAAAAGCAAACAAATAACATTTTACTAAATCTAAACTTGATGCGTTGGTGGACCTATTGTATTTTGGAAAACGAAAATTTGCTAAATTTAGCAGTTGATAGACAAGGCCCAGACCCGTTTCAGTAACCAGTAATCAATTATTTAATAGTTCTTAATAGTTAGTTCTTTTGACCCCCATACATTTAACATAGGGAACTTTGACTGGAAAAATTTCTAAAGAACCCACTTGGCACCCATGCTTGTTTCAATTTGTTCGGTGGAGCGGGTGGTGATATCCCAGAGAACGAGCTGAGAGGACTTGTCGTGCAACACCGCCAACACATCACCCTCTCGATCCCATGACATCGATATCACCGCTCTGTGAATTAAATGATCAACTTAATTGGACTTTAAAGCAATGAGTTTTGATTGTTTGGTGATTTCACATCATCTTCTTCTCAAATTTCTCAATTAAAATCTTCTTTCAGTTTTAAATAATACAATAAATAAGTAACTTTTAGAGTTTTTAATGAACTTACCCAGGCAATTGTACTGCGTCCAGCAGCTCGCCTTTTCGATCAACGAGTTGAACGCTTTGATTGGCGCTAAAAAGAAATTTTGTTTTGCTAAATAAATGTTTTGCATAGATTTGCTTAAAAATTTACTAAAGAAAATTTAGTTTATAACATTTTCTTCATTCAATTTATCAAGATTTACTTACCCAGCGATGGCGATATAATTTCCACCAGGTCTCCACGAGAAGGAACATTTCCCTGCACCCAAATCATCAGGCGATTTGCGAAAAAGGATCTAAAGCGGTTCAAGAACTCAATTTACGAAAAAAAAACCCTCACCTTCATTGTTAACAATTATAGAAAATTAGGTGAATTTGAATTTGAAGAAATGTTAAAATGAACTAAGCAAATGTTTCCATGGTAACCGGGAACAACGAGCTGAAAGAGCTTTTCAAGAGCTGAAAATCGAAAAGGCAAAAATGGTTTATAGGTTTTGAGATCAAAAATTTCAATAAAAAGTTGTAAATAAAGGTTAAAACGGTTATGAAAGATGAATTTTAAAACAAAATGCCCTCAAAAAGCACCGTCAATTTCGAGCCGCCATGGCCGACTGGATAAGAGCTCTGTATCTCAGCCAGGGCCTCAGCTGAGGGTCAGGGATTCAATCCCGCCAACTAGATTCTTCATTTTTTTTCAAATCTATGAGTTTTTCCCTATCTTTAGGGCTTGGGGTGCATTATTTATACCAAATTATTTGTGTGAATCAATCTATTCTTTAAGTGTTCTAAAGGCTTTACTGTGTCTATCTTGTAGCGCTCTGTTTTTCAGTTTGTAAAAAGTGAAATTGTTTTAAATTGTTAAAGAATTGTTATGTTAATGTTAAAATTGTTAAAATTCTTTATTCTAAACAAATCACCAAATCACGCGTTATTGATTTCGATTCTTTCTCGATTAAAGCTATAAGTTGGACTTTGCGACTGTTGGGTTTCTTCTTTGGTTTCGATTCGTCTCACTAGAGCCCTTGACGGATGATATGTGTTTCGAATGGCAATCCATGTTAATCTAGAAAAATTGTACATTATATTGGAAAATTTATGTAAGAAACCTTGGCGTCATACAGAGCACAGTTGATAAAAGAAGTACCAGCCAGAAACGGGGCATCATCACGGCTCGTTGAAATATCATTATTGGCGGATCCTGAAATGTGTTTGTGGGGGTGGGACAAATGCTACCTTTTTTTTGCGCACCTGGACATTTGCGCACCTTTTTTTGCTGGAAAAGGCTTTAGGAAAGGTCGTAGAGCTTCGAAAATATTTCCATATAAGGGAACCGTATGCGTAGATTCCGAATTTCGACAAATCAGACCTCGCTGACACGTCAAATTTGGGCTAAAAGGTAAAAACTGCGGAAAAGCGTTAAGTTGCGTAGTTTTTGCCTTTTAGCCCAAATTTGACGTGTCAGCGAGGTCTGATTTGTCGAAATTCTGAATCTACGCATACGATTCCCTTCTGTGAAAACGTTTTTGAAGCTCTACGACTTTTCCTAAGGCCTTTTCCAGCAAAAAAAAGGTCGCATTTGTCCCACCCCCGTGTTTGTAAGCATTTAGAAGTTTATTTATTAGATAAAAGATAATTATAAAACTTATAAGCTATAAGAAATTCGATAATAAGAAACTTACAGCTACATTTAGCATACTAGTGATAAGCCAAACGGGGAGCAGATTGTAGACAGCGGCAAAGAGGCAGAAGAAAATGATTGAGCCAACCAGTGACAAGAGCAATGGCCAGGCCTAGATTACATTTTTTTGAGCGTTTAAAACAAAATCTATAAAGTGATTAAGATGATTTTATCAATCAATTATCAGGTTACCCAGTATTGCGAGATCAATGCAAGGTGCACGGAATTGGCAAGAAGAAGTTGAGCACATTGTAGCGTTCCCAGCGTCCAGATATCGAGTTTCGCATGTTCGTAGGCCTAAAATTATATAAATATTATATAATAGTATTTATACTATTTTTTTTATAGCTTTATACTATAATATATTTGCAAACGTACGCCGTAAGCAATCCAGAAAACGACGGCACTTTGCCAGACAGCGTCCAGCATGTTTAACCAAAACGAATACCATTTGTATTTCTGCAAAAAAAAAGACGAATCTTTTATGATATTGTATATAATTATACTATATTTTTCTTAAAAACGATATGATACTATTAACCGAGATAACGATATGATACGCTATGTTTAGCCACACCTTTCCCAATCTACCCGCGTCGTAGAATGCCGGATTTTCGAGAAGCATATCATATGATGCATCTTGCTCAAGAAACCCGTAAAGTAGTGGAGGAACTAAAGAAATTTTTTATAAAACTTGTTTTCTTTAGCTACCTGAAGTGAATAATAAGTTATAGACAAGCAAATAGAAAGGATCCATATTAGACTGAGAAGAGAACCCGCAGAAGATTTGATACCAGAAAATGACAAACACGAACATCTGGAATTTGATCTGATAAAGTAGAGTAAGGATAAAAAACAAAGATTTCCGGAGAGGGGATTGAACCCTTGACTTCGATCGAATCAAGAGCCCCCAGCCAGATGCTCTAACCACTGAGCTATCTGGTATCTTCTTGCCAGAGAAGAAAAAGGAAATACAAGGAGAATTATATGTAAAAGCTAACAAGGGACGTCAACTAGCTAAGTCGGCCAAATGCTATGCTTATTCGACGAAGAATTTGATGTATCCCGAATAAGTACTCCGTTTTTGCCAAACGACAATCAGTCAAGAGTTATAAATTTTTGTTAAAACCCGGAACTCGTGAGGTCTGGCTCTGGAAACGAACGCTGTACCACTCGGCCACGGCTGCGCCGAGTTGGGCCCGCCAGAAGGCCGTTAAGTTGACGCAAGGAGCCATCAGGTAATCTTGAAAGAAAGCAAAAGAAAAAGCCAGACTGGGGAGCGAACTTGCGAGGTCTAGCTTGGGAAACGAACGCTGTACCACTCGGCCACGGGTGGACAAAATGCAACCCGCAAGGAGGCCACTAAGACCATAGACCGCCAAGACCCAAAGGCGTTTTCAGAGTCCATTTTCAGAGTCCTAACAAAAATTTAAACGCTTATAACTTTTGGCAGATTGTCATTTAGCAGAAACGGAATAGATATTCGGAATCAGCATTAAATTCTGCCATAATGGTATAGGTCACATAGCATTTGGTCAGTCCGTTGACTTTCCCTTGTAAGTATCCCTTTCACGTACAGCATTTTTGTAGAAAAAATAGAGTATTGTATTGGCAAGACGATTGTAACACCAATGCCCGTGCACGAGAAGAAGTGGAGCCAAAAAACGAAATCTAAAAGGTTTAGGTTTTCATTTTGGTCAACAATTTGTCCAAAGTGATTCTTTTGATAACCTACGAACCTGGCCATAGCATAATCGCTTGCCATCACAGCTTGCATACCCTCTTGACCCGATAAACCCACTCCGACATCGGCTCCCTGAATTCTAGGCTTGAAAAATGTTGCTCTAGCACTTTTACCTGTATCATACTGACATCATTCGCTCCATCACCAATCGCTAACACTTTTCCTTTTAAATGATGCTTTGCTAGATTGACTAGAGCTGCTTTTTGAAGTGGCGTCGATCGACAACACAACACGGATCGACATCTGAATTTGCCACCAATTTGCCACCAAATCAATTAGGCTGAATCACTTTAAAAGAAAACGTATATAAATTGATGCTTGTGATTTACGGATTTACGAATTTACGGATTTACGGTACGGTAATGTTTCCCAAGCAAGGAAAAAAAACTCTAAACTCAAGAGCTACAAAATGTGCTTTATCACAAACCTTTTTAACAAATTGATGAAACGATCTAGATTAAAAGGATCAAAACAACAATCCAGACAAGGTCCATTTAGGACAAGACCAAATGTAGAAATGGTGGATCGCTAAATATGGTGATAGGGATTTAAAAATAGATTTTTATCACTCTTTCCGTTCGCTCTAAGTAAAGATCGATAAGATCGGAGACAGCTCGAATACCGCTTGCTTGAATATTTAATAAATCCATTGAATCAAAAAATAATCTGAAATTTTGAAATCTTCAAAAAATGCGATTTCTTTTTACCGAGTAGAATAGGCAATGTTGATTGCAGTTTCCGATTTATCACCGGTAAGAACCCAAACTTGAATGCCGGCTTCACGAAGTGCTTGAATGCATTCGGGTACTCCGTCTAAAGTTTTGATATTTGATATTTGATTTGATTTGATATTTGATTTGATATTTGATTTGATATTTGATTTGATTTGATTTGATATTTGATTTGATTTGATCTTAAAGTTCTAGCTTTGCCACTAAGCCAAAAATTTCTGGATTAACCTTGTAAACGATCTTCAATTGCTGTCACTCCAAGCAGTTCAAAATCTTTCTCGATACTCGCTGCTGACAATGCAATCCTTTCCTCTTTCCCATGCACAGCCAATTCCGCTTCCTCGTGTTGAGCCCTCCAAGCTTGATACTCTTCTTCTAACAGAACTCTGTAAAGTTTCGATTTATTTCATTTTTAAGTTTTTGTTTATTTTTTGTTTTACTTTCTCACGAGACACAATGTTCGCAGACCCTGACGGGCATAATCGGAGAGATGCAGTTGAGCCATGTGTACTCTATCACCACCGATTTCAGAAGTGCAAAACTCTCTAAACTTAAACAATATTTGTTGTGCTTGAAGAGCAAACTCGGAAAGTAGCGGTAAAATGGTTGTGTCAGCTCCTTTGCAAAGGAGAACCACTGGTCCTTCTCGATTCGAGTCGTTGTTTCGAATTTCTCGAACGATAACTGACATTCTTTTTCGATCAGCATCAAAAGCCAGTGTATGCAAAAGCTGAAAACGATTTGATGATTTGATTTGAAGTCACTTGATTACTTTGAAACGCATTTGATTGCTATTCGTTCTTGTGTAGACGATGATTTCATCAAAATGTCGTTTGAGTAAGCGAACCTAAGCATAGAGATTTGGCTAGTTGAATTGAATAATTTGATTAGCACAGTGAATTGCCAATAGTCATGATTAAACAATGAAAGTCTTTCACTTACTCCATATTCTCTAGCAGCTTCAACAAGGGCTAGCTCGTCGGGACTCTCCGAGTCATAAAATGATAGAACTGGCGGTGATTCTCCAGAGGTGATTGAAACTGTTCCCTTGGATGAGTTTCTAGAATAGCCAATACTTTGCCAATAGCCAATAACGAGCCAATTTCCAATTTCTAACCTTTTAAAAGGTGTAAAGTTCTTCAACCTAGAAGATAAATTGAGAAGTGAAGTGGGTGATTTGGAAAGGATTCCCTAGAATTCAATTTCTTTTAGATTTTAGATAGCTTTATAGTCTTTATAGTAGTTCTACTTACCGGTAACCTCCTTGTTTTTGTTTCTTCCTTTTTCTCCGTTTTCTCTTCCTTTATCTCTTTTTCTTCTTCTTCATCAAAACGAGTCTCGATTTCCTTGACATCTTTTAAGCTGCCTAGACTATTCCGATCGTTAGTTTCCTAAATACTCAATAAGAAAGATTTTTTTTTGGTTTATAATCTAACCTGGGTATTGATTTCCATGAGTTCAATGGAATCTAAAGAGTCTGGCGTATTTCGACCAGGTGTTTGATTCTCATCACTTGCAGCAAACTGAATTATTTCTTCAACCTTGATCAGAATTTTTTCATTACATGCACTTGTTGCTTTGGCTTATCGGCACCGAAATCCCTCTGAGATTTGTTTTTGTCTAACGGTGATGTGATGATTTCCCCTTCTTCATCCATAAGATCCTGAAATTTAAAAAATAGATTTATTTACATGAATAAGGTGTTACAAAGAATACACAAGCATAATTTCTAAGTCTTAAATGTAAGGAAAACCTAATAAAAGAACCAATAGCCTAGCCAGCGGGGATTGAACCCGCCGGCGGATTGAACCTAGCCGGCTAGGATACAAGGCTCTTACTAGGATACAATGCTCTTAGCCAGTCGGCCATGGGAAGCAAATATTTATAGTCGATATTTGCTAGTTTAATCACCTCGTGTGGCTTGGAGTTCACGACAACGGTGTTGCAAATGGACATAGTGAGAAAAAGCGGAACTATTGGTGAGGTCGAGGTCACTGATTCTCCATTTTTAAGGCCAGTAATGATCAAATTCTCAAGTCCACGATCTCTTGAGATTCCTTCTTTTAAAGGTTTTGCTGAGCTCTCCTCTGACACGACACTCATCCCACCGAAATCTTTCCCCGCAACCGAGCAACGACGAAAGATCATCTAGGATTTGATTTGAGACTACTGCTTTACGAAGTTTCTAAAGGTTTAAACCTACCTGGTTCTCTGTTAATGTCCCTGTTTTATCACTCATCACATATTGAATTTGACCTAACTCTTCCGGAATATTCAATGCTCTAAAATTCAATGCTTCAATGTCAAGTCAATCTCAAAGAATCCAATAAGTTACCTGCACTCCATTTTCTTATCCTTTTTCTCATAGTACAATCTTGAATCATTGCAAATCAACCAAATTTGGCCAAGCTTGATGATTTCGATCGAAACATATAACGAAATTGGGATCATCACCTAAGCTTTTAATAAAGAAAATGAAGAATATCAAAGCTACTTGTAGAGCAATGATAAATGTGAGAAAGTTATGCCATCCCTCCGACCAGAGATCGACTCGCCCAGGATAATTGGATCCAGTTACTCCAAAGATTTGAACAAGAAATGGTATCTACAAAATTGTTGATGTAAAGGCTATGGAAAAACATTGTAAACTTTCATCAAAAACAACCTGATCGGGAATTTTATATTGCTCAACCCAGACAGCAGAAAGAACGGCTCCAATCAAGCAAAGGATCAACAGAATCAACACACACCTTTGAAATTTTCATTTAAAATTTTACTTTCTAAAAATTTACCAAATAATATCCCAGTTAGCTAACTTTTCAAGAGAGCTTCTTTTGTATCTTGTTCCACTGTTGTTTAGCATAGCTTTTGTCTCCGATCCTGAACTCAAAAGTCATATAGAAGGTGTCAATATTTATAGGGATCAGTAGATTGCTAGTAGAGCTCATTTTGTACAAGTTTAATGCTAAAAAGAAAGCATACTTATCAATACGTCCAATGTTAACAACTTTAAATTAGTTTTTTTCAGAATTATTGCCTTTTGCGATGTTTTTTTGCCTAGAAACGCCGGTGGAAAGCGCGTAAAATTGAGTTTCTTGTTAAGCTTTCTCCAAAGAATCACAATTAAAATGTGTTTCTAACATTTTTAATCTCTTGTAGATTTGAAAACTGTTAAATAGTGAAAACTTTCTCATTGTTAAACAAGAACAACTGAAAACTGACTCTTTTTGGTGAAATTTGATGATCGACTTCTGATAAATCGATTTTTTGAATATAAAATCTAGTAAACTGTAAAAATAAACTAGAAATCAAGTTTATTCCAACACCTATACAATGCTTTCTTCATGATTTTTTCATAAACAATTTTGAGAACGCTAAACAAACATAAATCTTCTCTATAAATATTAGGTTGGCAAGTTATAAACGATCGTTTTTTGGTAATGTGTTTTCTGAAAAAACGGCTTATCCAATCAAAAAACGGTTTGCTTCATTCAAAAGCCCTACCCTTAATCTACAAAATGGCTTTTTTGAATTTTTGCAAAAATGTTTTATTTTCGAACTTTTTCAGGCATTTTAATGTAAGAGTTCAAAATCCTGGTTTCTAGCATTACCCGGTCTTCTATTCGAAGAATATGAAGGAAGAATATGAAGAATATGAATGAAATTAGCTCATGAATGCTAGAAACCAGGATTTTGAACTCTTACATTTTTGTCTGAAAAAGTTCGAAAATAAAACATTTTTGCAAAAATTCAAAAAAGCCATTTTGTAGATTAAGGAGAGAGCTTTTGAATGAAGCAAACCGTTTTTTGATTGGATAAGCCGTTTTTTCAGAAAACACATTACCAAAAAACGATCGTTTATAACTTGCCAACCCAATAGCTCAAAAAGCTTAAAAGAGCTCAAAAAAATCCGAAATTTTAAACACTAGTACAACTTTCACCTGCATAAATCACCAATCCTTCAACGAAATCCGTGTTTTTAATCATACAACCACGAAGGAGTACATTGTTCTAAAGAAAATTCCAATTTTTTTGTTCATTTTTTATTGATTTACTTTTGAAAGTAAGGTATTTTCTCGAGCTAATGGTGGCTCTCCATCAGGCACTTCCAATCGTCCCTCAAATCGATGCAAATCTTCAGTCGGCTCCTCAACTATCACCTAAAATAATCTTTCAATAAAAAGAAATCTTTTCTAATAGTCTAGCGTTTAAAAAACAAACTTTATAATTGAAATTCTCAGGGCTAAACTCTAGAGGCACAGTGGGTGAATGATACTTTGCCATGGCTTGAATAGCGACTCGTTGCTTAAGATTTGTCTCTCCGTCTAAGTTTGATGTCTCCACATAACAGATTCCTAAATTTTGATAGATATTCCTTGTTTTTAAAACTCTTTTATTTAATGAAGTTAATATTTGATGAAGATTTCCTTTACCTGTCAGCTCCGAGCCAAACTGATATTTTAGTTACTATTGTTATTATTGAATGATTTGTTTATTCTTATGCAAATGTGTCCTCCCCTGTGCTTATCCCTTTTATTGCCGAGAAGGGGCGGTCCTTGGGATTGCTTAGGAGGACAAGCTGGGATTGCCTATGAGGACAAGTTGGGATTGCCTAGAAGGACAAGTTGGGATTGCTTAGGAGGACAAGTTGGAATTGCCTAGAAGGACAAGTGAGACTCTCATTTGGAGTCCCCCCTTCCCCTTACACTTATTTGTAATCTATTCGTCTTATTATACTACTGTAAATAAAGATACATATCTTCCGGGTCTATGCAACTGCAGTACAGGTCGGTCATTTCACAGGGACTCCCCTCTAATACGTTGGAGGAGTTGAGTTGGGTTGTCGGGGTGTTAGAGATGGCGGGATATCAAAAAGGGATCCACTCTCTTTAACTTAACCCAAATTCTAGTCCACATCCGTTTATACCTAGGAACGAATATACCTGAAGGATCGCTGCTCCGTAATAGGAGCATATCAGCAGGAATGATCTCATCGTGTGAAAGATGAACAAAATCCCCAACCAAAATATGTTTCCAAAACATCTTTCGATATCTGAAAAAAGGAAAAACGGATTGATGAAATCTCTAATTGAAAACCTTTTTGTCATTAATGAAATTGGAGCACCTAAATTTTTGCTTTTTTTTAATGGGTAATCGATGACGCTGATCACGAATTTGATGTTTTGAAAAGCTTTTCATTCACTTTTTCAATTCATTTTCCGAGTTATTGAACATTTTAAGTTCGAATTTTGCTCAAAACTTTGAAAATTTGAAGTTTAAGTTCACAATTTGCCTAAAAATTTGAAAATTTTAAGTTTTACTTTTAAGTACACCCCATCTATATAAGCATTTTGAAAAAATTAGAAAAATTCGCTTACCGTAAATACTGTAATAGTACCCCACTCCCATAGTGACGGTGCCGAGTGTTGCATAGTCTAGCTTTGAACGAGTTTTTCTCGACACTGGTTTATGCTACAATGCGCGCTTAGGTATCAAAAGATAGCCCTGAATTTCAGCTATTTTTTGATACCAAAGACGCATTTTTTGAAAGTACGGGCGCTTTGAAAAAAATGAAATACTAAAAACTACTTTTGCGACTACACGACTGTACGGGGGGATGGGGTACTATTACAGTATTTACGGTATTTATCTTTCACAGGAACAACGATGCGTCATCGATTCAGCCAGAAAAAGGGAAAATCGAAATTTAGGTGCTTTATTTGAATGAAACCTTTTCTCGCGCGAATCCCAGACACGACATGTTTGATGATTGATTTTTTGATCGGATTTGTAGCGACGATAATCCTAGGAATGTGTTTACTAGGCATGGACACTACAAACTACAAACGTAAACTATAAACGCTTCAAAATTGCTTCAAAGCTACCGTATTGACATGATCTATAACTTAAAAAATAGAGAATCTCAAGAGCTTTCGAATCGACTAAAGCACACTCAAAAAGATTAATGTTAAAGAAAGTTACAATGTTTTATAGTTACAGTCGATCGCTTTGACTACTAGCTCCTTTCGAGTCAAGACTACAAATCACTGTAACTTTCTTTAGCATTAATCTTTTTGAGTGTGTTTTAGTCGATTCGAAAGCTCTTGAGATTCTCTATTTTTTTGAGCTATAGATCATATCGATCCGACAGATTTGAAGCAATTTAGAAGCGTTTGTAGTGTGACAGTTCGTCATTTTTGTAGCTTATAGTGTCTAGTGTCTAGTGCTTAGAACTTTCTACAACTTTTCTCACCTCAAGCGCATCTTTTATCGCCGTCACCGCTAGCACGAACACGATAGGAATTGGAGCTAACATTCTACCGTATAAACCGATTTCCCAATTGAGAATCACAATGAACACAAAGTAGACGTTGGCGAGGCGATGGAACTATAAAAACTGTTATGTAACTAGCATTCTCTACAAGATTTACTTTAATTATCATAGTTTTTCGTATTCATACTCTACCTACTCTACCTGATCTCAAAATCAGCTATCGTACTCTCCAGTGATAGACTAGTTAAATTGTTTGTAAACTGTTTGTAGACTGTTTGATGATTGTAAGCTTATAGTTATAGTTAGACTGATTGTAAGCTTATAGTTATAGTTAGACTGATTGTAAGCTTCAAAGCTTTTAGTTTTGTTATAATTTGTAGTCGAATCAATGATATTATGTGTTGTTTTTTGTTACAACATTTTGACATTTTGATGATTGTTTTTTAATATCAAAATTCCATTTTAGAAGAATCGAAAATCTCCAATTTGAACGCATTCCACGAGGATTTACGAGCGAAAAGGGTTGCTCGACGAGAGGGAGATTAGGTGAAAATAAACAAACAAATTCTCAAAAAGATTCCCCCTGTCAAGAACTAGATACGCAAAGTGGTTTGAAATTTTTTTTTTGTTAAAAGTTTTCAATAACCATATTCGTATTGTATTTTTGCAGCACCTGTTCAAAAAGATTTTTCGGAAAAAACGTGAGCGGGCTGTACTTGGTGGTGCAAATGCGATTCGTCGCGAATTTTGGATTCGATTGTTCATATCTGAAATGAGGAAAATGAAATGAGATCTTGAAATGATTGAAATGAGAATCTTGAAATGATTGAAATGAGATCTTGAAATGATTGAAATGAGAATCTTGTTTTTTTTTAATTTTCTTTTTCTTCTTAACTTTTCGAGAGTAACAAAAAAAAGTTAGTGTAAATATTTTTGCACACCTTGGTGGCGCTTCTGGGAGATTGTTTGGATCAATCGTTCGAAACTCGATCGTTCTGGGTCCTCGATCGAAAATCCATCTGTAATTTCAAAGTCTCTTGATTTTTCAGATTTCGAAGTGAAATCTAAAATTTCTGAAATTCAACACCAGTACCTTGAAAATGGGATGAGTTGTTTAAGTGCCCGTCCGCTTGTTTCCGCTTTTTCTCTAATGAGGTGCGCTCCATTGGAAAGCACTGGTCTAAAAATCGAATTTTGTCCTTTGTCAACGTTTCAAAAACATTTTAAAGTCGTTTTTTTTTTGCTTTCTTAAATTCAATTCAATACAATCGACAAACATTTTCCCAACAATCACAACAAATATTTTATCTAGCGCCTTTATTTGCCAAATCGTTTTATTTGAAAGTTTTTTTTTCTCGTTGGTTTGAGCAACTAGAGAGAAGATTTACATAATTTTTTGATCGAATGAAACAAAAAGCAGTGACTATTAAATGATTTTCGAAATTTATTGCCTTTGATATTTATGATCAATTTGAAGCTAAACCAACCGTGTCGGCGGTCTCCATAAAGATGAAGTTCTCCTGTGATGGCCTTTATGTGAAGCGGCCGGAGTCATCTCGCATTCCGCGGTACTCGCATTGACTTTCGAAATTGCGTCGATTTGAAAGTGAACGATTCAGAGCTACAGGAGCACGAGAGAGACAGACAAAATTCTCTCGTAGATCTCCCCGTTCCACCTCTTGTCGATATTTCGGTCTCTACCCGTCCGCGTGCACTACCAGTCGATCGGCAAGAAAAAGAAGAGAAAAAAGCTCTCACAAGGGGAAGAGATCGCACACCCGGCGTTAATTTCTTGAACCTAGAAAAAGTTAATCAAGAAATGAAATTTGAAAAAAAAAGAGTACATAAATGCCTTTAAAAATGCGATGACGAATTTCGAAGCACAAAAAACGGTATTGAAAGGTGTGAATAGGGGAGAAGATGAGTGGGAATGGGCATCATTTCATCCGCAGAAACAGGTCAATGTGGCGATGTTTAGAATAGAAGAAAGGGGAATAGAAGAAAAGGAGGGGAGAGGAGAAGGAGAAGAAGCCATAAATGGAAAGTAGAGAAATGGGAGGGGGAGAACACGCACTTTTCACTTTCACCCCTTTTCTCCATCGAACAATTCCACACAACCGCTCGATACATATAAGCTGCGGTCTTCTCAACTATCTCAACACTGGACGATCAAAGGCACCGCTTCTTCAACCCACCCTCGCTCCTTTCATTTTGATTGAAATTCTAACAGATGAGAGTAAATCAATAAACCCACAATGTTCCTTTTTGTCACTGAAAATAGCTCAAAGTATTTACACTAAAAATAATAAATCAGAAAATATATGAAATTTTACTCAACGCCTGATAAGAGAAATGGATTAGTGGAAAAATTGAAATTGAAAACGAATTCTTTTGCTATTTTGTCTATGACGCCGATTTTTTTGAGCCTTTCTCGTCAAAACCATGAAAACTATGCGACGAAATTTGTAATTCACCTCTTAGCAACAAACGCGAGTGAAACAAAATGGGAATTTGACGAAAAAAAAGGGTAAAATAAAGAGACACAGAAATTGTAGTTGAGTGGAGTATTTTAGATTGAAAAAGTTTTCACGATTCTATCAGTGAAAGCATCGATTCATTCAATTTTTCATAATTCGATTCGATTGTATTCAGGCTTATGAATTGAAAGCTTTTAATGTAGTAGCTAAAGAAAACATATGGCCGATGGGAAAGATACGAAAAGGGAAAAGGGTTTCAGGCTAGTAAGATTGGATAGGAGAACAGTGTCGGGGACAGTGCTGCGCTCTGATGGGGGAGAGGGGGTTCGCTCCCCTTTCTCCACCCTCTTACCCTTTCCTCTTTTCCTTGTGCATGCACATGCCTCTCTCTCTCACCATACCAACTCCGCCTCTCATTTTCTCATTTCTTTTCTACACACCTAGACAGAGGTACCTTTATTTACTATTTTTAAAAATTATTCTGTTTTCACTCAAAAACCCATTGATTTGAGAGGGTTTTTGTCAAAAAAAAAACTTTTTGACTGAAACTATTTGCTTGAAAAAAAGATATTTAGGCTTTAAGCTGCACACTTTTTTCAAGTGGAAATATTTGGTATCTAGAGGGGGTGGGACAAATGCGACCTTTTTTTTGCGCACCTGGACATTTGCGCACCTTTTTTTGCTGGAAAAGGCCTTAGGAAAGGTCGTAGAGCTTCAAAAATGTTTTCATAGAAGGGAATCGTATGCGTAGATTCCGAATTTCGACAAATCAGACCTCGCTGACACGTCAAATTTGGGCTAAAAGGCAAAAACTGCAGAAAAGCGTTAAGTTGCGTAGTTTTTGCCTTTTAGCCCAAATTTGACGTGTCAGCGAGGTCTGATTTGTCGAAATTCGGAATCTACGCATACGATTCCCTTCTATGAAAACATTTTTGAAGCTCTACGACCTTTCCTAAGGCCTTTTCCAGCAAAAAAAAGGTGCGCAAATGTCCAGGTGCGCAAAAAAAAGTAGCATTTGTCCCACCCCCTATCTAGACAAAGTTGTTATTTAACGTCATTACAGACATTTTTGTACCGCAAAACATTTTCTTTGAGGATAATGGATAGCAAATATTTGACTGAAGTTGAAAGTGCTATCAAAGCTACTTATTAAAATAGGATTGAAATAAGAAAAGTGGAAAGGAATGGAAATTGAAAGGAAATTGAAATTCAAGAAGATTTTACGGGTTTGTTTGGAAGTTTCCAGTTTTTCATAAAGATTCCATTCGGATTTAGCTTCGGGGAATGGATAACCATTCCCCGAAGCTAAATCCGAATGGAATCTTTATGAAAACTTATGAACTTCTAGATTGTTTTTATAGATTTACAAACTATGAACAAAAGTAAAAGATCAATTGTTTTATTCAACTCACAATGACTCAAAGTTTCCACAATTGTTGAAGTAATTTCCTCACTTCCGACCCTTTCAGCTACTGTCTCCTCACCATTTCCCCCACCTGGCGGTCCCGTAGCGACAACCATGATCTCTCAATCATTTCTTCAATCATCGACACCACCTCTCATTTTTTACTTCTCTCACCATTCAAATACTTGTAATCTAATCTTATTTTACTAATCAAAAGTCTTTTTAGTGATTAAAGCCTTCAACAAGAATGTCTAGTCGAGCAACGGTGAGTGCTCGAAGCTTAGACATGATTGGCTTTGAAAAGAAATCTGTAAATTGTTATTTAGTCTCACGAGCTTACTTTCGAAGTGTGCTTGAAACAAAAGCACATCTTTTGCACATTGAAAGAGGACTGTACTGTGCTCGGGCTGAAGAAGCATGTTTCAAAGATTCTCAAGGTTGATTTTTTTTAAATCTAGGCGGTAAAAATTACAATAACCTCGATAACCTTTAAACGTTTCAGATTCCCATTGCGGAGTTCATCTTGATGTCCCAAAGTGAGAACAATCAATGGGTGCATTTGGAAGATAAGAAAAAGCTTTACTCTTGCGGATTCACTCCAGCCAATGCAAAGGTAGGACGAAAAGGGACAACGAAAGCAAATATGAATCTAAACATACTTTCAAAGTGTTTCTCTAAGCTCTAGTTGAATCTCTTTTAATATTGTGGGAAAATTCAAACAAATGGAGCAGCTATGAAAGCTTCGATGCCCCGCTCCTTTTTCTGCGTAGATTTTTCGTAGCTGCCCCTTTTGTTTAAAATCCCCCACGAAACTAGAAGATATTCAGCTGAATGGGCAAGGGGGACACTTTGAAAGTACAGTCGAAATTCGATATCAAGAATCGCTTGGGACCGAAAACTTCGATATAACGAACCTAAAACTTGCCTCAAATTTTTTGCGTAGCTGCCCTGGACGGCAACTGATTGCATTTGGCTGGAGCAGCTACGCGGAAATTTTGGGCACGTTTTAGAATTTCAAATTCGTTGTATCGAAGTTCGATGGATAGCCCGAATCAAATCCTACAAAACTGAGCTTAACTCTCAGGTTCAATACCCAGCCACAATCGGAGTGGGACGAGTGGGCGACACAGTGCCCGACATCACCCCGCTCAGCAAGCCTCCACCTGTGCCCGAGAGCATGAGACATGATCATCAACAGGATTAATCAATGCTCCACATTTGCTCTCTCTCTCTCTCTTTCGCTATTTCAAATACTGGTGCGCGTTCTTCGATTTTCTCTTTGAAAATTATGAGAACACAACAAAATTTCTTCCACTTTTAGGGGGAAACAAGTACTTTTGTGTGGTCAGATTTGTCGATTTTACCCTAAAGTTAGCGTGTTTTCAAGCTGGTCTTACTTTTTAACCCAAAATCAAACTTTAAATTCAATAATACAAACAGACTTTGCTTTGCACCAACTTTAGACAATTCTCCCCTCTTGTCACAATGGGTTTCTTTTTTCTTCGTCTACTTGCATACCTGTGTTTATCGAGTTTGTGTGATTGTTTTAAATCCTCAGTACTTACCCGCAGTTTTACATTTTGATAATTTGCCTATAACTTTTTTTATTGTAGCCAGTACAAAGGAAAGGCAATCTATTCTAGTTTTAAATTGATTTTGTAAAAACGAAACATTCTAATAGTCGAGAGAATTTCTCAGTTTTTTCTAATTGCAGCGGAGCTTCACTTTTGAAATTTTTACTATCCGTTCTATCCATTTTCTCGAAGGAAATATATTTTGCGCCACAAAAATGTGCCTAATGATGTTAAATGACTAAATTTGTCTATATAGCACATATTTCGACCCGAAAAAAAGTGTGAAGCAAAATTTTCTTTTCTTAAGATGTACACTTTTTATGGCGGAAACTTGGGAGTGGGACAAATGCTACCTTTTTTGCGCACCCGGACATTTGCGCACCTTTTTTTCCGCACTTAGCCCATTAGCGCACCTTTTTTCGCGTTTTAAAAAAGCTCTAAAAGCTAATATTAACCAATTTCTATTCCAAAAGTTGTTTTTCTAGGTAATTTGAGGGTGTCGAATTCAAATTTTGACATAGCAGAGCGTGTGGAACCAATTTGAAAGACAAAGCGGCTAGGTCAAATTACAGAAAATTGTTGATTTTTCTCTTTGTATAACTCCGTCCGTTCGCTTCGACAAGCTCTGATATGCCAAAATTTGAATTCGACACCCTAAAATTACCTAGGAAAACAACTTTTGGAATAGAAATTGGTTAATATTAGCTTTTAGAGCTTTTTTAAAAAGGCGAAAAAAGGTGCGCTAATGTCCGGGTGCGCAAAAAAAAAGGTCGCATTTGTCCCACTCCTGGAAACTTGACTAATCCCCAGACTCGGATTTTCCCTATTGTATCACCTGTGTAATGTGTGTAAAAACAATTTGCGATTTTTGAAATAAAGATTCATGGAAACTTTTAAAGACAAAACTATCAGTAACATACATATAGAGCTGCCTTTTTTGTTGTAATTTTTATTTTCCGGCTTCTTGACATTGACTTTATTAATCTTTTAATTGTTCTTATTTTAGATGCCGCCAAAACGAAAAAAAGCTGGACCGCCAAAGGAGGAAATAGCTAATGAGTCGGAGGTAATGCTTGTTTTAATACCTTTGTTTCAAGATGGACTTGCAGTCAATTTCGAATGGTCGATAAATGAAATTATATTAACTTTTTATGATTCATTCACTAATTGGTTTATATTTAGGAGGATTCTCTCGCGAAAAGGGTACACAAAGATCCAAATCTTTGGAAAGATTTTATTGATGCTCACTTCGCGGCGGATAGACTTTCAACTTTGACGCTCCCAAAGACGTCTAGAACGGTAAAACTCTTTTGTTTACGCTTTAATGCCATTACGTTTTAGACGTCTAAATACAAGTTACCGAGTTTGGGTGACATAGTTCATTTCAAGGGATGCGACGAGTTGGAGGTACGATAAACTGTCATTTCTGCAAATTTTCCTTTTTAGACACCAATTGGCAAAACAATACGACCAGAAGACGCTGGATGGAGTGATCGTTTAACATTAAATTATCGAAGATTACTGGAACAATCGAGTGACATCGGTAGTTTTAAAGTTGGGCTATGTATTTCTTTCAATTTAGATGAAAATGCTAACTCTGAAATCTTTTCTTTGTTATCACAATATGTTGATTTCACTGGAAATCCATCTGCATCATCTAACTATAGAGTAAGAGCTACAACACTTTATATGTTAGTATGCGTTTAGTTATGCTATGTTGGACATTTGCTGAACCACGTGATAAAGACGAGGAATCTAATCTTGCAAAATAAAAAGAAACTGGAAGAGATCGACGAGGTTATCAATTTTTACTACTAGCTCGCTAATTATTTTTTAGATAAACCTTGACGATGCTACGCTTCAATCTACAAGAGATCAAGGCTTTGTGCGTCCCTGCGTATTAGTTCTACTACCTTTTCGCAAGGATGCATTCGAGGTTGTTAACATCATGGAATCGCTAGTATTTGGAGGAGGTTTTGCTTGAGAAGAATAAGAAAATAATGGTGTTTTAGGAGAGAAACCGAATGTTGCAAACAGAAAGCGGTTTAAAGATGAGTTCGGTGATACTGGTTATAGAGTATCAGGTGCTCGGCTTGTTGAAGAAACATTTCGGGTAAGTTATCCTGTTTAGTTTTGCTGTAACTTTTTATGTAGGATACCATGGAAGGAAATGTGGATGATTGTTTCCGAATGGGCGTTGCAATCTCTAAAAAAGAATTAAAGTTGTACTCACCTTTTTCGAAAGTAAGCTTGTAAAGCGTTCAACATCTTTTATCATCATTCTTTAGTCTGACATAATTTTGTGTTCACCACTTGGCCTTCGAATGATTTTAAACGGAGATCAAGGGGATGAAAGCCAGTTCATCTCATCAATTCAAATTGTTGTGGCTGATAAGGTGAGTGGTGTATTTAATTCTGAAGTTATTAAGTCGTTATAGTGTGATGTTCTGTTACAACAAAATTGGGAACACGTGATTACGATTTTCAAATGGTTAAATAAGAAACCAAAGCAGATAGAAGCCGACATACGGCGTGTGCGCACTCTATATTTGGACGGTATACCGAAATGCTTAGTAATTATGCAAAAGTTTGTATAGGTACGGCGGCTCATTATTGCCAAACTTTGTTATTTGGTGATTATCAACATGAACAGTTCACATCGCTGTCGTTGAAGCACTCGTTGAGTCATTGCGGTCTTGTTCTACACTATCCAACAGTGGAGGGGGTTTTGGACAAGGTAGCTTATTTTCGGAATTCTTCTTGCAAGTTTTCTATTTTAGGTGAATATTCCGATTTGTCAGGAACTTCATCGGATCAACGTTAAAAATGCTGAGGAGAGTAGTGATGCTCGCTTCCAGTATTTTAAGGTATTCACTAAGGTGTTTTTCATGATGCTAAGCTCATGTTTAGGATAAACTTCTTGGCAAACTTGAAATGCACACGATGATCTTCATACCATCGTATTTCGACTTTGTTCGGATACGAAATTTGCTGAAGAAGAAATGTCGAGAGTTTCGTCCAATGTCACGAATATGCACCAGATAACAAGGTAAATATCAAAAAATTTTTAATGTTTTTACATATAAAGTTTAGATAAGTCGCGCACGTGACTTATTCTACCATGGAAAGAAGAAATTATTGTTGGTTACGGAACGATTTCACTTTTTCAAGCGCTTTCATCTTCGGGTAATTATTATTCATGTTTTTTTCGAGTCGATTTTCTTTAGGGAGCCAAGAACATTTTGTTCTATCAATTACCAAATGATCCAAGTTTCTACGCAAATGTAGGTTTTGAATATTTTTAAATGATAGTAAATTGTTTTTCAGATGATCAATATGTGCTCCTCTGATGGAATGCGTGTGAAAGCGATCCTTCCCTTCTCTCAATTTGATCGTTTGCGACTTTCGAATGTTTTTGGAAAACAAATGGCTGCAGGAATCTTGAAATCGGAGAAACAAGTGGGTACTATTGGATTAAATTTAAATTTATTACGTTTTTAGATTCAAGCCATAGTTTCGGAGTGATTCTTGTTTTGGTTAAAGGTTGAACTTTTTTTGTTTTGCTTAGGCTGTTATTTTAGCCATTGTTAATAATACATTACCTTGTTTTTTCTTTGTAATCTTGTTATTGTTGTTACAGTATTCTTGTTACTTGTCTTTGGTTTGTTGTCATATTTTGCTGACTTTATTTTTCTGAAATTTATAAATCTTGGGCAAAATGAGTCGCACAACATGCTGAAAAATACAATTCACAGATACAGACGTGTGTTGTTATGCGTTTGTGTTAGCGATGGCTAGATGTATGCGCGAGTGAGTGCTCTTTTGCCTTCTCTCGGATGGAATCCTGTTTGCAGACTGGACCGAGTGAAGTCTGTCACCTCGTTCAACCCGTTTCCCTCTCCGCTTTTTCTTTTCTCGTCAATCTCTTTTTTTTGTGCAAAGTAGGATTATTTACAGGAAGAGTCATTTTATTGATTTTCTGCCATTTTTCGCGGACGGTTTTTTTTAGCATTGAAATGTTTGTACAGTTCAGATGGGTTTTGAAATTTATGCACTTAAATCATTCGGAATACTAAAAGGGCAATTTATTGAAATTTCAATGTTTTTGCTTTTGATGAAAATATTTTTGTTATTGAGAAATTCTTCAGGCTCCGTTTTGTGGGTCAATGTTGGGGAAATGTGAGCTCTTCGTGGGACTCATTTGTCTCGTTGGCGTTAATTATGGCTATATGGGAGCGATGATGGGACAAATCACAACTTGTGATGATGGAAAAGTTTGGATTTTAAATGCTAACACTCACTTCTCAAAGCAACAAACTTTTAAAAACTTTATCATCGAAATCTTTGCAGACTGGGATTGAGATCGATTGGGATCCGAACGATTTCTCGGTCTTCACTTGCCCAAATCGAATCCGTTTCGCAAGGTTAACCACATTTTTTGATTTCTTTATTTTTTTTTTTGATATTTAGACGAGAAGTCGATCCGGTTCTTTTCGAAATCCCGGATTTTAACGCACGGACAGATCAAGTTGGGCACAAATGTGTGAACGAGAAAATCGTCTACAAAGAGGTGCCGCCATTGAGGTTCGAATGATCTGAATGGAGATCTGATACTGATCTGAATTAAGATCTGATACTGAATGTTGGATTTCTAACTTTTAAAATCCTTGACAATTTTCAGAGGTGATCATCGACCGAATTGGCCTCGATACGGCGAGTACTTGTATGTACCACCGCAGCGGTGGTTGCATAATTTGGAGGTATAAGCTGACGATTTCGAAAAGATGAGAAATTTTCAGCATGGCACGATCGTTCTGCTCTACCATCCGTGCACCGATCTGGAGGAGTTGCAAAAGTTGCGACATTTGGTGACGGGTTGCTTGTGGAGACACATCGTCACTCCATACAATCGCCTCAGTGAACAACGGGTTTGTGAGATAAATGGGGAATATCAGAATCAAAATGCGATCAAAAATCTATTAAAAGATAGAATTTGAAAAATTTAGCCACTAGCCCTCGTGGCATGGGGAGCGAAACTCGAGTTGAATCTCGTTGATGAAAGGAGCATAGCGATGGCTGTTGCGTTCATTAGGGTGAGTCCGAACAGTGATTGCTTTTTTTTGTTTAAGTTCTAAAGTTCTAAAGATAAGAAAAGAACGGAGTACTCCAAAAAGAAAGTTTTTCAGCTTTTTGTACTTTTTTTTTCTATTTGAATCTAAGAAAAATCAATTTCCTTATTTTTAGATTTATTGGAATAATTTTGATTCTGTAGCTCTCGATGAGAGCTGAAAAACGTTAAGAAAAACGTTAAAAATCGAACAAAAACTGAGCAATTGGTTGCGATTTGTGAAAATACCCGTTTACACGATTATTTTAGAGAAAATGCAACTTTTTAAGAGAAAAGGCTTATCCAGTAAGAAATACAAAACTTTTGATCGAAAAAAAAGGTTTTAATTTCGGGATGGGGCAAACTTTTGATAGGTTTTAATGATGAAAGGTTTTGCGCTAGCCACCGGCTTGTTACTGGCAATTAAACTAGAAGCGCAGATCAAAAACCTTCACACATCATTCACACAATTGACTTGGGGAATTTGATGGTTTCTTCGCGAAAAACACCTTGAATCCATTTAAAATTGAACACATCGATTCGCGATTTCAGAAACACGCCCGCGTCGCTCCGGAAGACATCTCGAGAGACGGGATCTATGACCATTATCTGATGGTGCCGGCGAGAATTGTTAGCGACCAAGCTGACTCAAAGATTTGCCCCGATTTCCTCACTGTTTCCACCACCACCACTCCCCTATCAAATAACGCAACAATTCACTTGTAAACTTTTTTGGGTCTTTCAAAACGAGTTTTTTTTATTGAGCTTTTGATTTCTATTGTTGTAAATATTTGAAAATAATATGACAAAGCATTTTTTCGACTGGTGCTTTTTGTGGGAAAATTTATGTTATTTATGAGAAGATAAATGCTTCAATGATTGGGGGAAAGTTATTGGCAAGATGACTTTAGATCAATTTGAATCAATGAAAATTTCTATTAAGTTTTATTTTAAAAATTTTATATTAAATAAAGCAACACAATATTTACAAAAATGTGAATGAAATTTTCGTTTTCTTTTCAAAGGGGATTTTCGTGTTGTAGGAGAGTGATGCAATTTTTTGGATCTCCAGACGGCTTCAACCGTTCTCGAATCTCCTCGATTGGCATCATCATCACGATAAGCTGAAAAATATTACCGTAAATACTGTAATAGTACCCCACTCCCATAATGACGGTGCGGAGTGTTGCGTAGTCTAGCTTTGAACGAGTTTTTCTCGACACTGGTTTATGCTACAATGCGCGTTTAGGTATCAAAAAATAGCCCTGAAATTCAGCTATTTTTTGATACCAAAGACACATTTTTTGAAAGTACAGGCGCTTTGAAAAAAATTAAATACAAAAAACTTTTGCGACTACGCGACTGTACGAGGGGGGTGGGGTACTATTACAGTATTTACGGTATGTTATTCTTGTTTTATTTTATTTATCGTTAAACAGTTTCCCTATTTTCAAGTATTTACGGTACTATTACAGTATTTACGGTAGGTTGGAAAGAAGAAAGAAGAAAGGAAAGAGGTTCTCGGAAAGAAAGTTTGACTAGAATTTCTTAAAAACGAATCCACCAATTCAAGAACCTTTTGCTCTATTATTTACAAGTCGACTCCAAGAAATTACGCGTAAAAAAAAATGAGTGCATTTTTCGGGATAGGCTAATTTCCGCAAATTTTTTTTTGCGCAACAAGGTCATTTGCGCAACTAGCCATAACTTTCTTCTAAGTGGACCAATCTTTATGTTTTTTTTGGTTTCATTTCATTTTGTTGCACTTATTGAGATCTACAAAATGAAACCAAAATCAAAAAATTGCGGAAACTAGCCTACCCCCAATTTTCTCCTTAAATTTTCGAGATTTTTGAAAAATTATTATTTTCCAGGTTAAATTCAGCTCACTTTTTGCATGAGAAAAACGATTCCTGATGAGGTAAAGCTATCATAAAATGAGCAATACGCTTTATAATCTCTAATTTTTGGCCAAAAATTTTTTTACAGAGAAGCTCTTATTTCAAAAAATAATTTTTTTTGGTGTCATCTTCTTGGCACTGAGTGTTTGCAAAAATAGGTGATTCTGAAAAGTTTAAAAAAAAACATTCGATAAGATTTGCCTTAATCACAAATTTTCCCTATTTTAACTACTTGATTTTAGGTTTTGAATGGGACTCATTGCCTATCCATTAACCCATTAAAAGCTTGTCTAAAGGCTGGCCACTCAAAAAGTGACCAAGTCACTTCAGCTGAAGAAATCCCTTATTTTTTTACCTAAAGCTCACTCTGATTTTTTCTCAAAAACTTTAGAATATATTCAAGTTTATCAAAAAATCTGGGAAGAATTGATGGCTTGGTTTTTGAGAAATCACCGTGCAAACTTTTTCTGCAAACTTTCTTTCCAACCTAATCCTTATCTACTTATCAATCGAATTCATGGCTTGGTTTTTGAAGAAAACGATGATCAGTAAAAGAAAGAGCTAAAATGGGAAAGATGTCAAAAAAGCTGATTAGGAGATGATCAGATCAGATTCTAAAATCATCGTGCAAACTTTTTCTACGAACTTTCTTTCCAACCTACTGATTGACTATTGAACTTCAAGCTCTCAAAAGACATCTAGAAATCAGCTATTTTAAACTCGTTTTAATAGTATTTTACAGAAAAATAATTGGTATTTCTAATGAAATAAATCATAGATTAATTGGTATTGGTTTTTGAGAAATCACCGTGCAAACTCTTTCTACGAACTTTCTTGCTAACCTAATACTTATCTACTTATCAATATCTACAAAGCACTCACCACTTTTCCTACGAACTTTCTTTCCAACCTAATCATATGTGCATTCTATTGAATATATTCTTTAATGTATTATAGATTTTTTAATATTATTTGTTTACTTACCTTGCTATCATCTTGTCCTTGATAAAGCATCTCGCCGTCGAAAGTCACAAGGCCATACTTTCGGGCTCTTAGCAACATGCCGACCAGCTTCATTTTCTTTATTTTTATATATTTTTTTAGAATTTTACTACCTTATCTGAATATAGGGCGTAAATATAAAAAAGACGTCCAAAAGCTACGTATTTATGAGGCGGAGAACCCTCAGCGCTCTCGTCAATTTTCTAAACAAATCAAATCATATCTTGCATAAATTTAGGTACTTTTAAAGTGATTTCGACCAAATCCAGGGAAATCTTTAATTTTTATTAATTTTATTGGTATTATTGATAATTTTACTAAGCTAGATATGCTGTTTCTAACCTCCATCAGGAAGAGCACCTCTCGGCAAACGTGAACTCCTGCCTGTAAAAAAGAAGTGAAGGAATTGGTAGATGGATTTCCGGAGAGGGGATTGGACCCTCGATCTCCGGAGAGAGGATTTGCTTTTCAGGCAATTACTTTAACCACTGAGCTATCCGGTGCCTTAACTCGCAGAGAGAAAGAAAGAAAGACAATGGGGAAGAAGAAAGGAAGAAAGAGAAAGAAGGAAAGCCAAGGGGGAAGAAAAAGAAGGAAAGATAAGGGGAAGAAGAAAGGAAGAAAGAGAAAGAAGGAAAGACAAGGGGGGAAGAAGAAAGAAAGAAAAGTTATAGATCAAACTATCATTGATTCGGTGTTCACCTTAATTCCCCGTCTCTCCGTTTTGCTGCCGGGCGGTGGCCGGCCGTAGTCACTCGAATTTTTATCGTATTTCGGCTCCACATACGTTGATGAGCCAGGATCTCTAAAGAAGACCATTTAAAGCAATCCAGGCCAGAATTTACTATCAGATTTAGTGTTCAATAAGACTTCTGATTATGAGCTTCATCCTCACCTTTTCAATTCCTCTTCCGTTTTTGCAACAATATTTGAGAACATCTTCACTGTATTCAGCACCGAACCGCGATGCCGCTGAGCGGCCTTTTTTGCCAAAATTTGCTCCATTCTCTTTGAGAATCTTAAATTTAAAGTATTTCTTAAAGCTCAATTTCTTTTTTTTCATTTTCTTTGATCTCTTTCAAAAAAAATTTCCTTGGAAGAGCAACCATTCCATTAATTATTTTTGCTGTTGTCGTGGAAAGCTTTATTCAAAATAATTCAATTCAAAGCCAATAAACAATCCAAGTTTATTCAAGTTCAAGAATAGAGTTTAATTTGAGCAAAGTTTAGGGCAAGAGATCGTAGAAATCCCGTCAAAAAGAAATGAATTGGTAAACGGTAAAAAAATGATAGCCAGAAGGGTAATCTCCAAAAAAAATGCAACTAGTTCTTAACAATTTGAAGTTTTATAAAAGTAAAATTTTATCTGACATCTAGAAGTAATTTGAAAAAGATTAAATCAACACGACACAATTCTTTGGATCACCGGATGGACGAAGTCGAGTTCGGACTTCATCAAGCGAGAGCAACATAGCAATTGGCTAAATATTTGATTAGAGATTTGAGATTTGAGAGTAAGTTTTGAGATTTGAGAGTAAGCACAAAATATTTTGTAAAAGTTTTCTTTTTCCATGGTAATTCTTTGAGCAAACTTTCCCTAGTGCTCACTTTTCTATCGTCTTGTCGTTGATAGAGCATCTCTCCCTCGAAATGGATTAGTCCGTACTTTCGAGCGCGAATCAGCATCCCCATCAGCTAAAATAGTTTACCATAAATACTTTAATAGTACCCCACCCCCCTCGTACAGTCGCGTAGTCGCAAAAGTTTTTTAGTATTTCATTTTTTTCAAAGCGCCCGTACTTTCAAAAAATGCGTCTTTGGTATCAAAAAATAGCTGAAATTCAGGGCTATTTTTTGATACCTAAGCGCGCATTGTAGCATAAGCCAGTGTCGAGAAAAACTCGTTCAAAGCTAGACTACGCAACACTCCGCACCATCATTATGGGAGTGGGGTACTATTACAGTATTTACGGTAAGAATTTCAAAAATAAACAGTTTTTCAATGGACAAATGGAAAAAACAACTTATCATTTACTTTTTTCATTGAAAACTTACTGTTTCAGAATAGTAGGAGTAAAGTTGAAAGAGTTTTCCGAATTCGATTACTCTGAAATTTTTTCAAGGTATTTTCTTATTGTTTCTTAGGAATTCACGTAAATTGATTTGAAGATAGTGTTTAAATTCAGATTTATCATTTATTCATTTAACAATTTTGAATAGATTCTATTTATTCTTCAGTTTCTACAATTTTTCTCTTCTTCTTTTTACTGTGTGTCATTTTATCAATTAAATATCAATTCTATTGTCACTTTTTCATTCTTATATTGATAAAGAATTGATATATATTAGCAACAATTTACAGTATTTCTTTTTTTATTACACAATTCCTAAATCTCTATACCTATTTGGCGGTTCGCCGATCGCGTTCTCGTTGATCGTTTCGATTAAAAAAATGATCTCTCGACACACGTGAACCGAAGCCTAAAAGCTTTAAAATGAAACTAAAAATAACGAAGAACTTTAGAACTTTAGCTTTAGAATCTTTAAAAGAACTTCTTTAGCTTTAATTGTAATAGAATACTTTAATATCTTTCTTAAATCTTTATCTTAAACTCTTAATATCTTTCTTCTTAATCTTTTTCTTCTTAACATCTTTTTCTTCTTAATCTTTTCACTCACCTTAATCCCCCGTGCCTCAGTCTTACTACCGGGTGTTGGTCGACCGTAGTCAGTCGCTTCTTTGTCAAACTTTTGCTCTACATACGAATTCGAGTATGGATTTCTGAAGAAAGCAATTTTAAGGATCAATTCATCACACAACTTCTTCAAACTGTCTTCCGTTTTCTCCGCGAGCGCCTGGAATTTCTGAATGGAGTCGCGTAGACTCGAGCGGCGATTATTTTCCACTACTCGCGAGGCATCGGCGCTCATGTTTCGACTATAAAAGTGGATGCTGAAACAATGTTACTATTAAGAATTTGAATCAATGATCAGAGAGACAAAAACATTTCTTTAAGCACAGATCTAAAAATGCTAACTAAAAGCAAGAGAAAAGAAGACAAAAACATTTCTAATCGTTAAGGTTCAGGCGTGTGTTCGAGAGAAAATTTGAGGCACAGAAAAACGGCTGTGCTTTCACGTGTGGCAGAGTGAAGGGGAGAAGGGTCCTCTCTGGGCCCTTATCCCATCCCTTTCTCTGAACTGAATGATCGGCTCTGATCTGCTTTCTTTCCTCACCACCGTCCCCTTTTTCTCCTAAAGTCTGACATTTTCTGTTTATCTCTTTTTTTTCCTCCTTTCTCTTTCAGGTTTTGACTCATACAAAATCCTTTCGACATCTCCATTGACCCAATTGATATCCGCTAAGTTTCATGGAGAAGTTGAAAGAAATATTTTTGAGTATATGTGGATATCTTTTCTTTTTCTTTCGCCAATTTTTCCTCCTGTTTGAGTCAATAAAAGTCAGCTGTTAGCTCAAAAGAAACACTCTCTATCTTTTGTGAAATTCTAATTGTGAAAAAAGTGAGAATAATAATGTGACGAAATTAGATCTGTCTTGAAATCTTTAAACTCGAATTGTGAAGCTTTTTAATGCGTTAACTATTGAAAGAAAGGTTTTTAAAGTTTTATTGGCATGAAGAAAATAAAAAGAATTTACCGTATTTCTTCGAATAGAAGACCGGGTAAAGAGTATCATCGCGTACTCCTGCGTAGCAGCCCTTTTTAAAATTTCTTTTCTGCATAAAAGCTTTCAATCAAGTGCTATAGGGCTGGAAAATGGCTCAAAAATCTGTGGTATTTTTGCTGTGGTATTTTTGAGTCATTTTCCAGCTCTATAGCACTTCATTGAAAGTTTTTATGCAGAAAAGAAATTTTAAAAAGGGCTGCTACGCAGGAGTACGCGATCATACTCTTTACCCGGTCTTCTATTCGAAGAAATACGGTATTATTTTTATTTTTCTAAAATAAACTGTTAGTACCAAAAGATTCTTCGCTTCAAGCGCTATCTTTTGGTATCTAAGCGAACATTTTTCGCCGAAGCAGCACAGAGAACCGATCGTCACAAAATTGTGTTAGACTACGCGACTGTACGGGGGGGGGCGCTATTATGACAGGTATGACGGTAGGTAGATAGGAAGAGCTAGGTATTATGTACCTAGTTTCTTGTTTATTCGATGGCAATGCGCACTTGCTAAAAAGCTGAATATTTTGTCTAAACAATTTTATGTGCCTATGTATGTATATGATATTCGATTATTGTATTTTAAAAAAAACTTGGCACTTTGGTGGTTGGAGGATCACCTATATTTTTCACTTTTTCTAAAGTAATCAAGAGCGCTGAGCACAAATTTCGCATTTAAAACATGGATTTGCTTTTAAAAAACTGACTTTTTCGACCTCGGAACAAAAGCAAAATCAATGCTTTTTACATTTGTCTTTGTGAACGTTTAGCGTAATGACGCATCGTTGGTGGTGCATTTAGGTAGGCCCGGGTTGGAGGCAGGTGCTGCAAGCTTTTCGGCAAATAATTGAGGATGTGTCTGAGCTATCTCTAGAGAGCTTGCAGGACTTACCTTCACCCTGGCCTTGCCTAAGTGCACCCCAACTATGCGCCATTAAACTGTGACTAAATCTTTTGAGGTCGAAAAAAAACGGTTTTAAAAGCAAATCTATGTTAAAAATGCGAAATTCGTACTCAGCGCACTCGATTACCCGAGAAAAAGTGAAAATTTCGAAATATAGGTATCCCCAACCATCAAAGTGTCAAAAGCTTTGTTGCACTTAAAATTTGAGGATAGTTTTCTTTTTTTGTTCTGCTTTTTCATATGTAAAATGAAAATGCCACCTTTTAGATATAAACCGACTGTCATCAAATATGAGTGACAACATGCCTGGACCGCAAGAAAGGGGACTCCGTTCGGTATTTGGTTGGCTTCTATTTATAAAACAGTTTTAACAATAAAGTTTTTAGTGAGAAATATTTCACACAAAGTTACGGAGGACCATTTGCGGCAAATCTTTCAAAAGGTGGCTTTTAAGTATAGGTGAATTTTATTGTTTCTTTAGATCGGACCAGTTATCAGTTTGGTGACGGATCGTGAAAGCGGCAAGCCAAAGGGTTTCGGTTTCTGCGAATTTGTTGACCAGCCGACAGCTGAACTAGCTATCAGGAATCTCAATGGGTAAAATTTAGTAATTACAAATGTGTAAACATTTATTTATTTAGTTATGAAATAGGTGGTCGCAATTTACGCGTCAATAGTGCTGCTGCTGGTGATAGCACAGCAGAGGAGGTTGTTTTTGCTAAAAATTAATGTGCTATTTGGTTACAGCTGTCTTTATTACAACAAGCTTTTGCGGTACGTCAAGATGAAAGTCCGCACGGACCAATTGAAGGAAAAGCTCCCGAGGTAAACATTTGGCTAGGTATAACTTTAAGCTAAAAATTTTCAAGAATTTAGGCTGGTTTACGAGCAGTAGCCTCATTGCCACCCGAAAAGATGTTTGAGATCATGAAACAACTCAAAGATGCTTGCAAGTAAACTTGAATAATCTCCCAAAATCGTTACTGATATCTATTTAGAGCTAATCCTCAAGAAGTGAAAAAGATGTTGATGGATAATCCACAGTTATCATATGCGCTTTTGCAAGTAAGCGGTTTTTTTTCTTTAGTTTTCTTTGTATTTGTATTCAGGCACAAATCGTTATGCGAATAGTAGATCCTCAAGTCGCGCTGGCAATGCTTCAACGAGAAACTCCGGTTAATTCAACACCATTTCATCAAGCACATATACCGGGCCCATCTGCACAACCTCCATCTACCATCATGCATCATCAAGGTTGCTAAATTTTTGAAAGGTTATAAATTAACTTGAAGTAGACATGCCACCGCCGGGATTCACTGCACCCCCGCCTGGATATTCTTATCCTCCACCAGCTCCCGTTCAACAACAACCACAAATGGTTGATGGAGATAGTCAACAGGCTGCACTACTCGAACTGGTAATGTGTATCAAAAAGAGTTTTATTTCGACTTTTTACTGATATTATCAATCAAATAAAAGCAGTGCTGCGTTGCTCAACCACTAACCGTCTTGTTCCAGGTTTTGAAACTATCCGAGGAAGAAATTGCAATTTTGCCGCCAGGAGATCGGGAAAGTATCATCGAGCTTCGCAATAAACTACGTCAACAGCTATAAAAGGCCAACTTTATTTTATCTGTAGTACCTCTTTAAACTAATATATTAGTCTTTTTCTATAAATTCTCTTTTTTTACATTCTCCTCATTTCGGGTTCAATTTCTAAAGTTGTTTGCTTTTACATTTTCAAGTTAAATAAATCAATTATTTTTACTATCAAGCATTATATTAAAAGTTCGTTCTTTTGGCTGTTATTATTAATTTGGGCAAGCCTGTAGCCGGAGAGGGGCAAAGGGGTAAAACATTGCAAAAATGAGGTGACCCTTTCAGTTTTGTTTTACTGCGAACTGCAAAGACCTAAGCTTTGCGATATGCGATACGTCCTTTATTTAAGTATTGAGAGCATTTTTATAATCCTAGATGGCATAGTTTAAAAGAACTTTAGCTTTCAACGACTCGTGGTACTTTACTTGTGATCCAATATGCATCGGATGTCATTTTCCATTTAGCTCGCCTTGCCCACTTTTTGGAGGAAAAAGTATCGCAAAAATAGGTAAGTAAACTGTTTTTGAAAACTTTATTACTTATGGTTTTAGGTTCAAAGCTTGGAATGGAAATCTTGGCGCGTTGTTCAATCTCACCCCGAACCTTGATCGGATTTAGCGAAATTGAAACTACAAATATTAGCTTTACAACTGTGTACAACTGAATTATATTGCACATAATCTTATACAGAAAATACTTTATCATGATTTTCTGATTTTTTCGAGGGTTTTTCGTCTTCGATGTTTTGCTTTCGAATCTCAAAATACGTCGAGTTTGGGATACACTTGATAACGAACCAATGGCTATACCGGTTGGGACCCAGTGGGTGGAGCCTTCAAAATACCTCTGGCAAGTGCCTTTTCTAGAGTTTTCGACCAGGTTAAATCGATTGGTAATATTTTTAGACTGTGTTTGTGACTTATTTTTTTTTGGTTGAGGCAGTATCTAGCTTATGTTCGATAACAGACAGCCACTGGGGCTATAGTTGGAGGGCATTTCGCTACTTTTAACGACATTCAAGGCTCCCTGTATTTACTTAGGCTTTGGCTCCGCACCTTAGGGGCACGTGACTCCTAGGCTATCGCCTGATTCTCCTACGGCTGAGGTGAGTTTCGTGTCGAAAGTACGTCGCTCCTAGCTCGAACGAAACTCAATTTTTTAGTTATTTTTAGAGTGAAGTGTGTGTTTTTGCAAAGAAACTCCTCCCGAATCCACCCTTTCCCCCTAAATTTTCCATAAACGCTAATCAGCAACTCGCAAACACGCGTTTATTAGCTATAAAATTTGTTGAATTGTCCCGTCCCTTTTTAATTTTTCGGGATTGAGTGAATTTATTTTCACCGATTTTTCCAAAAAAAAAAAATTGGTGTCTCTTTGATAGATAGCTATTTAATATTTATTTATAAATAATAGATATTGATTTGTTTTGTTTAGAAAATGAAGCGATTAGGACTTGTGGTTCTGTGGCTGACTTTCGGCACCTCGGCACTTCGTTTGAGCGATTCGGTTCTCGACTTACATCTCACTGACGAGCAGGTATTTAAGTGCTAATGTTTTAATGGATTTTAAAAGGAAATTGTATTCAACTTCCCAACCCAAATATATTAATGTCACATGCCGGGCAAGATAATTTCAGCCGAAAAGTCTCATATTTCTTCCTTGGAAAACCTTTTCAAAGCCCCAAACCTTGATGCAAGACCCAAGATTTCCTTCGGCATAGCCGCTCAAGTTGGTGCAGTCTCCTTAAAGGCTAGCCAATCATTTTCTAAAAAAAGAAATCTTGTCTCAAGTCTAAACCGACCAAAAGAGACGCAAAACAGGAAATGTTGACGCTTAAGTATTTTGAAAAACATTGTTCTATAAAAGCGATCAAGCTAAAGAGGCGCGCTTAAAAGCATAAAAAATTTCACGGTGTTCTCTCTTGAAAAATTTAAAACAGTTATTCTCCATTTTTGTGGATCAAGAGGAAATTGTGGACAAAACTTTAAGAAAATCGTCAAGAATCGAGGATCTCTTCATGGCGTTAACGCTCAACAGAAATTAGGGTTCAGTTTTATTTCAAATTTCAAAAATGCACAAAAGTAAAAAAAAATAGGATTGAAATATGGGGTCAATTTTTCGATTATTTTTACAGATTAAGTGTGGTTTTTGAAATAAGTCTTCCCGATGATCCAAAAAAGGGGCCAAATTGACTTCCATAAACGCTAATCAGCAATTCTGTCAAACAAACGACGAATCAGCTATAAAATTTGGCGAATTGGCCCTTTCTTAGCCTTTGGTTACAGGATTGATAAATTATTTGCGCACGTTTTTCCAAGAAAAAATTGCGTTTTTTCTTTGAAGCTAGCTTTTTAATACTTTAGTTTGTAAATAATAGATATAGATTTGTTTTGTTTAGAAAATGAAGCGGCTAGGCCAAGAGGTTTGTGAGACTTTCGGCACCTCGGCCTTAGCCTAAGCGATTAGGTTCTCAGACTTACATCTCACTGATGAGCCGGTATTTAAGTGCTAAGTTTTATTGGATTTTAAAAGTAAATTGATTCAATTTACAAATGATCTATAGAAATTCCGAGTTTTTTTTTCAGCTCCTCCAACTCTCGCTTCACCCAAACCAGGCGGCTATCGACGATTGCGTGGCACAGGATTTGGACCTTGCTCAGGTTTGTATTGGGTTGGTGAATTGAAAGCTGCTGGCTATTGTCATATTTGACAGTTTGAGCACTTTCTTCAAAAGAAACCCATTTTGGTGTCAATGAAAAAGTTGTAGAGAATCAAAAATCAAGCTTATATCCAAATTTTCAGAACGATTCAAAAACTGGTTTTCAAGAAATGCCAAATTTGCAATGTTTCACAAAACTTGCATTTTAAGCGAAACTACTAAGTGTATCTTTTTGGAAATTTGGATATAAGCCTCATTTTTGATTCTCTACAACTTTTCTATTGACACCAAAATGGGTTTCTTTTGAAGAAAGTGCTCAAACTGGGACATCCCCAGTCCTCGATTTTTGAGTCTCACACTTGTCACACTTGTCACACTCACACAAACCAAAATCCTACTACGAAAGAGGAATCCGCAAATTGCCTGTAAAATGGGCACAAGTCGTCAATAATAATGGAAATTATTTGGAATGAATTGATGGTTTTATGTTGAATAAATTTTAGTTCAAAGTCCGGCAGTTTTCAATTCACCAACCAATATAATAAAATTCGCCTTGATGTTGCAAAACTGAGTCGCTCTAAAATAAATAGCCTTGTTTGGGAACCTTTGGCGCATTCCCCATACAGCCCGGACCTCGCCCCTTTTGATTACTATTTATTCCGGATCATGAGTAATGAGCTTGCGGGAGAACACTTCGATTCGGAAGAAGTAGTCAAAAATGGGCTTTGAAAGTTTTTCGATTCAAAACCAAAATCCTACTACGAAAGAGGAATCCGCAAATTGCCTGTAAAATGGGCAGCAGTCGTCAATAATAATGGAAATTATTTCGAATGAATTGATGGTTTTATGTTGAATAAATTTTAGTTCAAAGTCCCGCAGTTTTCAATTCACCAACCCAATAAAAGTTGCTATATAAACTAAATAGAGATTCTAATAGTAAATTACTAAAATAGATTTAAATGTGAAATTTTTCTAGCGAGGCTTCAACATGCAGCTGAACATGCCGCAAAATCTCAACTTCCTAAATGCGACCACTCTTTGGGGAATGATCGGCGCGTTTATCAAAGATGCCGACTCGCTTGTCACCGTTTGCCAGTTGGTATTTGAAAAGATAGTATTAAATATTAGAGATATAGTTGTCTAAAATAAATCTAGAGCTCGGCAAATGTTCTATGACACTTTACGCACCGAGTACGACAGCTGCATGGATCCGAGCTATCTGATCAACGTGAGTTCAAGGCTTAAATAAATTCGACAATTTTTTTTAAAGTTTTACAGTTTTTATAAGAAATTATAATATTAATCAAATGCTTTATAGAATTTTTCTAACAAAAAGAAACGAATTTCAGTCCGGTGGAGCGCCGGTGAACACGGCGATGTTGTATGTGCATATGATGCGCCATCTCGAGTTCATGTGTGGAGGAGGGTTTGGAGGTGGCTTGGATAAAGGAATAACTATTAGAAACTATTAGAAACTATTAGAATTTGAAATTTGAAAGATATTAATGATTATTTTCGATTACTAGCTTCAACTAATTCCAGTTTACACCGATGACATGGATTGTTTCCTGAAAAACGACAACGATCCGTCGCTGGACCCATGCTTTCAGACTTTCAACCAAACCATTCATCAAGACTACAATCAACTCTGCCCGTTTGAATCTTTTCTCACTTTATGTAATGTAATATTTTAGAGCGGTGAATACTTATATGAATTGCATGAATGATGGATATGTGAAACTTTGTGGGAACGTGGTGAGTGGTTTAGATGAAAATGCTTTTAATAAGTTTAAGAGTTTTAACTTTTTAATACTGTCATAGTACCCTACCCCCATAATGACGGTGCGGAGTGTTGCGTAGTCTAGCTTTGAACGAGTTTTTCACGACATTGGTTTATGCTACAATGCGCGTTTAGGTATCAAAAAATAGCCCTGAATTTCAGCTATTTTTTCATACCAAAGACGCTTTTTTTGAAAGTACGGGCGCTTTGAAAAAAATGAAATACTAAAAAAACTTTTGCGACTACGCGACTGTACGAGGGGGGTACTATTACAGTATTTACGGGAGGTTTAATAGATGTAAAGAAATATTCTTTGCGTTCTTGGTACTCCGCACTCAAGACACGTTATTTCTTGTTTCGAGATATCTGAACTCACTTGAACTAAGAAACTTTATTCAATAGCCGACTGACTCGGAATTTTTGGGCTCACTTCAACGCTTTCAACGCTCACTTGAGCAATTTTCGCACAAAATCGACAATTGAATTAAAAGGGACGATAAAAACAGAAAGAATTTCGTCCTAATTAGCACACGACTTTCACACGATGAAAGGAAAGCAGAAAAAAGTAAAAACGCATCAAATGATCAGTTGGGGTAAGCTAATTTCCGCAACTTGCCATAACTTTCTTCAAAGTCAGCCAATCTTTATGATTTTGGTTTCATTTTGTAGATCTCAATAAGTGTAACAAAATGAAACCAAAATCATAAAGATTGACCGACTTAGAAGAAAGTTATGGCGAGTTGCGCAAAAGACCCAGTTGCGCAAAAAATTTCGCATTTCGCGCAAAGTAGCCTATCCCGAACAGTTGGCTTATATAGGCTTTAACACAAGATATTCAGCTAATAAGCTAAAAAACGCGAAATAGAATGAATGCGCCCGGATTTACGCAATACTTTTCCAGTTTTTAGGCTGTCAGAGTTAGGTAACTTTTTAGTGGATATTCACCACAATAGGTTTAATTACTGTATGAAAAGAAATATAATATCACTTTTTGCAATTGTCAGCCTATCGTCAAAATCGTTTAGGCTGGTTGGACGATGTGCGAGTATGAAAGAGTTGGGTACGCTTGGAATTGCCCAGGACTGCGCTGCTATCTCACTCAAAATTAAGCCACTCCTTTACTATTTATCTATTAGCCAATAAATATAAATATTTTTTTTCAATAAAGTGCCAATCAAAAGAAATAGTTTTTCTCAAGTTCGAAAGCTTGTTCTCTTGTCTTTTGTCAACTAAGAACTATCATAATCTATCAGAAGAACTATTAGAAGTTCTCTTGTCAACTAAGAACTATAACATAATCTATCAGAAGAACTATCAAAAATTCTCTTGTCAACTAAGAACTATCATAATCTATCAAAGAACTATCAGAAATTCTCTTGTCAACTAAGAAACTATCATAATCTTGCATCTAGTTTTTATCTAATCTTTCATTTGTTTGAATATCGAAAAATACAAATAGATCATCGGATAACATCTAGAGATTACGATAGTTTAAAAAAAATTAACACGTTTTAGAAACTGACCATCAAGAAGAGGTTCTTGATCTTTTGCGTATCTCTTTTCTTCTCTTTTCTTCTCTTTTCTTCTCTTTTCTCAACACTTTTCTCTGGGATTTCTAGGTCAAACTAAGCTCTGTCAAAAGAGAGAGCTCAGACAAGACAACTCTTCTTCTCTTTCCCCCCTTTTTCCTAGTTCACATTGAATTTTTACCTTTCTACAATGAATTCTATCAAACGTTTGCTCACCTATCGACCAGAAATCTCATTTCGAGAGTTCTCTTTATTATTTCTAAGAGCTTCTATAGCGGCCGCTTTAAATTATGGATTATCAATGGCACTTTTCAATCCTCAACTTATCCCGATTATTGATCAGGTATTCTTTTTCAGAGAAAGATTATATTATAAAGCATTCAGCTCTGGGATCAATTATCGATGAAAAAGTTTGACGCTTTCGCCGATGATGCGTTTCGAACGAAGAAAATGAATCGCTTCTGGCCACCGCGAGATTTCCCATTAATCTATTTAGCATACTCATTTGCTGTGTATTTTGTGTCAAAGTAAGATTTTAAAAAATGTAGCTCTAGATTTTTTTAGAATAATGGATCCAATCTATCTTCAAGAGGCGTTGAGCGTTGTGTTCAGTGATGAAAAGGAGGAGAAAATGGTGTTTTGTCAAAAACTTTATGAATTCCATAGTCTTCCATAATCTTTACTTGCTTTTAGAAAGTAAATGAAGCCGAGGAAAACATCTGGTTGAGGCTATGGGGAAGGCTGTTAGGCTGTATTGTACAGGTGATCGATTTTCAAGAAAATCATGATACCGGGATTGATTTTTTGAAAAAAAAAGCATAAAAAGCAAAAATTTCTGACGAGAGTGGGATTCGAACCCACGCCTCCGAAGAGACCAGTGCCTAAAACTGGCGCCTTAGACCACTCGGCCATCTCGCCTGTTTGTGCGGGGTTTAATGGAGGTATAAAGTTTGGGGGATCGGGAATCGATAAATTGAGAATTCTTTCTCAATTTATCGATTTTTGATTGAAAACTTTCTGTATCTCATAGATAATATTTAAAGGATGTTTAAAGATCAAACTTTTCCAGGCAATAGTTTATTTCGCAATGTTATTACCCCCGTATCGACTTGGAGAGCTTCACGTTTTCGTCATTTTACTCAACTATGTTCATCTTCTACTTTCAGTCATGATTTGTAATCTCTGTATGTTTGCTGGGTTTCCTGTAAGGAAAAAGAAAATTGAATAAAAGTTTTATAAATTTAAAACCTAAAACTTGCGCAGAATAAATGTATGGACAAAATGCTCGACGTTTTCTGATAATTCGATTCTTTGTTTTTGGAAATGGGTGGTGGTTGTTGTGGTGGTGTTGGTGGTTGTTTTTTTGTTTGTTGTTGTTGGGGTTGTTGTTGTTGTTGTTGTTGTTGTTGGTTTTTGTTTTGGTTGTTTTTTGTTGTTGTTGTTGATTGTTGTTGTTGTTGTTGTTGTTGTTGTTGTTGTTGTTAGAGTGTGTTCCTCGCGAGTAAAGCGTTTTTTAAAACGCACACTTGGCAAAAAAATTACCGTACTTTTAGCAAAAATTATTGCAAAAAAATGACGCAAAAATGACGAGCCCCTCCTTATATATGACACTTTTTAAAGATACGCAGCCGTTTAACTGATTTGATGGCGAAATTCCCTTCCAATGTAAAAAGTGATTTTTTTTGAAAAGCCTGCGCAAAAAATTGCTTTTATATTTTTTTCGCGCAAGCGCACTTTTTAGAAAACGCATTACTCGAGTAATTACTTACTCGCGAGGAACACACTCTATTTCTGATAATCCCTGTTTTGTGATGAATGATTTTCTCTGAATTTATTCCAATCAAAGAACACATCGAAAATTTGCAATTTGCAAAGAAAAAAAATGCCGACTTAATTCGAGAAATTTGATGAGTAATCGGCATTTATGGAAAGGGTTTTTTTTTGAAAAAAATCACAGAAATTCGAAGAGTGAATAAAAAGAAAGCAAACAAATCAAAGCAAGGAAATCGCGAAGAGTGAAAATACCCCTATTAGTAATCAAAGAAAACATCATTGAGTTGAATGTTTAGTGCTGTGCGACTGGTGGTGCACTGGTCGGTGATGAGCCGTAGCTTTGCAAGGCTTGCAACTGATCCCGTTGTTCGTCGATTTTCTTATCGATTAAGCCGCATTCCTGGAAAATAAGTTTGCTTTATTTCTTGATTTAGTTTTGAATAGCGTTAAAATAGCAAAAATAAGATAAGAGTTTCAATTTTTCTTTCACTTGTTCCCTAGAACCATAGTTATTTGCAATTTTATACTTTATTATTAGTTCACTATTATTTTGTAATCTTTTTGTACTACCTGAATAATCTTTTTGTGATTTTCTCTGTAAATAGCCCAAAGTCGTTGCTCTTCTTCATGCAAAATCGCGCACAATTCGTCGTCGAGCTCGTTCTCTCGACGGCTATTGCACTGTCTAAAACCATTGTTGTATTTCAAATCATCAAGCTGCCCTGATGGCTGTTGTTTTATTTAAAAATGTTATCAAAAAAGGTTGATATATTTTCTTTGATAAAAACCTGAGCAGATTGATGCCAAACAATCGCTTCTTCACATATGCATCACGTTCCATCAGGGCAGCCTGAATTCATCATTGAGATTCAAGAATTAGTAATTAATAATAAAGAAATGGATTTGTAGGATAGAAAATGCTTACTCTTGAATGAGTGGGGATTGGATTCGACACAGCCTGAGCGAGTCGATCAGCTTCGAGACGAAACTCCACTTCCAATCGGGTGACACTGTCGCCTTGGGCGATTTGCGAGCGCACCTAGAATTTTTCGTGTACAATAGAGTACCTTTGGAAATTTTCAGACTCAAGTGCTAGATTTCTATAGTTTTAAATACCCAGTGGGTATATAAATCCCACTGAAATCCAAACAATGACTCCATGAGTCAAATAAGCTCGCCTTGCGAGTGGATGCATGTGATTTATTCTTGGCACCGATAGATTGGCACGTGTTTTCATGAAGAACCATGGTAGTGAGGCTTTATTGTAAGTGAAATGAGCTTAGCGATGTAAAAACCGAAGAAATGCAAGAAAATGCGTTGAAGGAACGTACAGAAAGAAACGCCAAACCGAAACTTTCGGAAATGAATTTATGCGCAGAATGGGGAAATTAAGTGTCGGAAAATGGAGGGTTACGGTATTTGGAGCATTACTTAGAAAAGAGGGAAAGACAGGCTTGAGGGTATTTAAGTGTAGAAAGAAGTTTTTGTAGATTTTTCTTGACGATTTTTTTTCATAAAGCAATTTTGAGAGCGCTAAACAATCTACGAGCTTAAAAGTCCATTTAAATATTGAACAGAAAGAGTAGAAAGAAGTTATAGTAAAGTGAACAAACCTTTAGAGCCAACTCCGGATCAACGGATTCGACAAGGTGAAGAATGTGCTCTCCAGTTTCTTCGATTGCGAGAATCTCTTCTTGTACCACTCCTCGCTCTTCTTCCAGTTGTTTCACACGACGATCCACAACGGTTATCGACTAAAATTTGAGCTTATATTTGTCTCAGCCAATTTGGTACCTGATTTCTTTTAGCCTCCAACTTCTCGTATTCATTTTCGGGAATTGTTCGTTTCGTGTAAGCGTTGTGAAGCTCAACGAACGAGGGTGAAGCACAAAGAGTGGAAAGGACTTTGGCTGAGGGTGAATTAAACGAGAGAGGCTCTGCACGTACCATCAATGATGATAATGAAGTAGATCTGTAAGCGCATTTTTTTTTTCTTTCACGAGTCTGCCTCCCTTCTGCCTATTCTTCCCTACCTAGGCAAGTTGTTGTCATTGCTGATCTTCAAGCCTTTGGGTTTCGCTGGAACGGCCGGTTTCTCACGTTTCAAAGAGGAGTCTCTGAAGAGGATTTTATTGTAACAATTTTATTTATTCATGACATGATTTAGAAAGAAAAATCAGTTTACTACTGTAAATAGAAATATCTTACTTGGTTTCGTGAATCATTCGTTCTTCAGCGGGCATTGGATGAACTTCAACAGTTGGTTTTAGCGGGGAGATCACTGGTGGCTCGAGGCCTGTTCGAACCTGAGAAATTTTCTTTATTTAATCTAACATTTAAAGAGTTTAATACTTAATAATAGGTAAAAATCAAGTAAAATACCGGAGCTGCATAGTGAGTATTCGAGAATTCAAATGACGGTGATGGGACTTTAGCCATACTTGTGTTAAGTGAACCGGACGAGTAGGCAGAAGACAATCTAAAAGAAAGAATAAGATTAAATTGGTCGTTAAATGAGTCGTTAAATGTGAATGAGAAATTTTTCTCATTCAATTTGGTTACCTCGATGCGTTATTTACTTTCATAGATTTAGTTGAAACTTTGAAAAGTATAGAATCATTTCTTGGTTAGATCGAAATGGATTGATAGGGATGAAGAAGGGAAATCAAAGAAAACGAAAAAAACGACGACAGGGAGAACACTTTTTTTGTCAAAGGCGATTGGATGTGCAAATAAGGACAAACAAACACCTAAAGCCCTTCAACTTCGACGATTTCTCGACTTCGAAGATTTCGTGATCAAGAAAACTTCAAAGGATTGAAAATTTTGTTTGTATTATTTTCTAATGTTCATATGATTAGATTTTTGAATGCTTACCGTAAATACTGTAATAGTACCCCATCCACTCACTTATGCCACTCCCATAATGACGGTGCGGAGTGTTGCGTAGTCTAGCTTTGAACAAGTTTTTCTCGACACTGGTTTATGCTACAATGCGCGCTTAGGTATCAAAAAATAGCCCTGAAATTCAGCTATTTTTTGATACTAAAGACACATTTTTTGAAAGTACAGGCGCTTTGAAAAAAATTAAATACAAAAAACTTTTGCGACTACGCGACTGTACGAGGGGGCTGGGGTACTATTACAGTATTTATGGTAAACTATTTTAGCTGATGGGGGATGCTGATTCGCGCTCGAAAGTACGGACTGATCCATTTCGAGGGAGAGATGCTCTATCAACGGTATTATTACAGTATTTACGGTAGTTAATTTTATCTTTTATTATTCTACTATTCTAATGCTATTCTAATGTTTATAATATTGATTTCTAAATCTGGGAAAAAGTGGGTGACAGTTGGGATAATTGAGAGTTTACTGGAGTAGCCTAGTATTTGGGTAAATGGGGAACGACTCCCTAGGTAGACTGGCTAGTTTTCTATTCAAAATAGATAGTAAATATTATTTCTAAATCTACATACGATTAGATTTTTCACGCTTATTTACTTCTATTTGTTTTTTTTAAAGTTTCAATAGTATATGGAATTGAATCAGAATTGCAGAAAACATTGGTGTCAAGTCTATGCCAGAGTCAATACAGTTAAAGTTACACTTACAGTCACTCTATTCAGTTACAACAGAGTACCAAAGGAGTTAAATTATTAAGATTTCAGGGTACTAACAAGAAAAGCTTAAGCACTTAAGCAAGAAAGTGCGTTTTTGTATACGAAAAGAGAAATTGACGCTGGAAACAAGCGAATGCTTCTCGTTCGACTACAATTCCGACATTCCAAGGGAGACGAACGGGGCGCAAAACCGCAAACAATGCAATCCCCCCTTTGGAAAAGAGAAAGAGTGTAGCCAGCCTCCTTATTGCAAAAATCGGGGTGAAAGGAAACACCCCTACTGGCCTTCATTTTCTCTCTTGAATACGCCCAACTACTCGGTCGCATCCAATTCAAATCCACTAGCCCGGTCCTCTATGGTTTGAGAGCTCGGAATGCAAAACACCAAGACCGGGATTCGAACCCACGACCTCTCACAACCGCAACCCCGCTTACCAGTCGAACACTCTACCAATGAGCTAAACCGACATGACACCGTCGCTGCCAGGGAAGGGCTTATGCCAAGGAAGGGCTTAACTCACCACCACAAATTCCCTTTCCCATTTTAACATTGATCTTGTTACATATTGGAATAGATTAAACTTTTGTAAACCTCAAAAAAGGCATGAAAATCGAATGCTTAACAACCTGAGCTCAAATGTGGTTTTGCAGGGTGCAGCTGCTGTGTACACCTTGTGCACAACCATTTCTAAAAACACAAATCTCAATGAGAACAAGATTCAATGAATAAATAGGAGAGTAGATTTGCTGAAAACCCTATATAAACTGAATGGTTGAATGGAGAGAAGAAGAGGCTAGAAATGGATCACAAGAATAAACAAAAGCGCTCCATTCACAGAGATTATTCTCGAGAAAAAGAAAAACAAACTTTCTTTACTTTTTCAAGAAAAGCTTTAGAAAGTTTGAGTTCTTTTGCTCAAGCTTTTGCTTTAAAAAGAAACACTTATTCTATGCATAGCTTGATCTTTTAACTGAATTTTGTTAGTCATAAGAATTCTAGCAAAACCAAGGCGCTCAAACGCTAAAAAAAAGCTGAAACAGCTGGATTCTGGATACAAAAAACTCTTAAGCGGACAAATTTACAGTTTTAAACTCAAAGAAATAGTTGTCGATTTATTTAGAACACAGAACAAGAGAGCTAGAGAAAAGAGAAAAGAGAAAGGGGCTTTTGTTCTCCTAGTAGGGGAACATCCATCCCTTTCATACACCCACTATCCACTCGATGTGAAAGAGCGCCAATACAGAGCCAATACGAGAAAAAAACAGAGCCAAAAGGGGAAAGACAACGATTTGTTTGATCTTTAAGACATTTTTTTTGTTTTTTAAAGTCTTTCAAAGTCTTTTAAAGTCTCTAAAGTTTCTCTAAAGTTAATTAGTAAACTTTAGAGAAACTATTCTCTGAATTTGAACAAAGGGATGAAGCATTGATGATAATTGATTGCTTGAGATATCTTTTAAATCTGTCCCTTGGGTAATGAGTTTTCTAAAAACTACGAAAACTACAGAAAACTACTTACAACTACCTCATATTGTAACTCACGGGTAACTTGGGAAGGTTCCCTTGTTAGAAAATCCGTAATCTAGCCACTAATTCTCATTCGATTAGCTCATTTTTTGTATGATTGGCTGTGACTCTTGTGATTCATCGTTTCAAATCAAATCTCAATTGTTTTAAAGTCAGTAGTAGTCAGTAGTAGTCAGTAGTAGTCAGTAGTAGTCAGTAGTAGTCAGTAGTAGTCAGTAGTAGTCAGTAGTAGTCAGTAGTACAAAAGCGAGAAGAACAAATTCTAATTCTAATTTGAAAAGAAGAAAAACTTCTAAATCTATAAATCTAATTCTAGCTCTAAGAATGCTTAAGTAAATCAATCTTTTAATCAATCAAACTTTTGAAAACAATTCTATGAGAGAAAAACTCGCTTATAAATAATAATAGAAAAATGCTTATAAATAAAGCGATGACTGAGCTGAAAAATGAAAATATTCAAGGACACTTCATTACTTTCAAATTTTTAGGGTCAATGAAAAAAAAATTGACACTTTTTGGGGAAAAGAGAAGCATCAAAAATTGCCATAAAAATGAAAAAAGAACAAAAAAAAAGAATGAAGAGAAAACGATGATTCACACACAACACTAAATATTATTCGCGAACCGGAATCGCAAAAATTTTCACAAATATTTTGCTTTTGTTGAGAATTCATTTAAATAACAACGAATATTTCATAAAAAATTTTGTTTTTTATTACTTTTTATTACTTTATTACTTACTTACTTTTTATTACTTTTATTACTTTTATTACTTTTATTACTTTTTATTACTTTCATCCATTAATAATCATTAATGGATGAAAAATTTGGTAAGTGATAGGAAAAGCAAGCAAAAATCGATATGATATAGCGAATGGGAATAGTAAAGGATAATTTTATAGTAAAAATAATAATCTTACAGTTTTCTTGTGGCAAAATTCTATTGGTAACCAAAATATAAATTAAGAGGCGACTTTAAAAACAAACCTTGAAGCGGGTAGCGCTAGATGATCCAATTCAGGCAAAATGCTTCGATAGCCACCTGAATCGATAAGTCGACGATAGGAATCTATTCTGAAAATGAAATATTGGTTCTTCTGGCGCTGTATTTTGCAGGAAAGGAGACAGTCGGCTGTCCCTAATATAAATTACCGTCATTCTGTATGCTTACAACTATTTTCTTTGTAAAGAAACCTGTGTGGAGGGTCTTCTATTTGTGATGGAGCTGGGGATGGAGAGGATGAAATCGATGAGGATTGTGAAGAGAATGAAGAGCTCAAATGTGATTCGTTCATTTTCTTTTCATTTTTATTAATGTAAATATAAGAATTAGCTTACCTAAAAGCTTTTGAAAGGCCACGATCCTGGAGTTGAGCTGGTGGCAGTGGAGCCATTGTCGAACCATTACTCGTTGAGCATAGCGAGTATTGAGAAGACGATGTATACGTCATAGAATGTGATTTCTAGAATGAATTCTGAATTTATGGCTTGTATAAAGCTTTCTCTTTCCTATTTTCTTTAAAACATCATAAAGATTTACTTGATGAATCGGTGGTTGTGGTGGCGGGGGCATTGGTTCTTCTGGCGCTGTATTTTGCAGGAAAGGAGACGGTCGGCTGCCCCTAATATAAATTACCGTAATTCTGTATGCTTTTACTAGAATATTTACGGTAGTTATTAAAGTTATAAGGAAACCGTTTAAATCTATACAAAAGCATGCTGAGATTCGCAAGTACAATGAATCTTCTCGTTGTCGGAAGGGAAAAAAGGAGAGGAAGGAAAGAAGGGAAAGGAAGGAAGGAGAGGAAGGAAAGAAGGGAAAGGAAGGAAGGAGAGGAAGGAAAGAAAGGAAAGGAAGGAAAGGTAAGGAAGGAAAGAAAAGGAAAGAAAGGAAAGGAAAGAAAGGTAAGGAAGGAAAGGAAAGGAAAGAAAGGAAGGAAAGAAAGGAAAGAAAGGAAGGAAAGAAAGGAAAGAAAGGAAGGAAAGGAATTCGAGCTCCCGCTAGGCGCAATTATCATAGCCATCCTAAAACTAAGCAGAAAAGGATTCATTCATTCATCTCTTCTCCAAAAGAGAAAAGGAGATGAAAGAATGGGATGGATCTCGAAGATTGGATGAAAAGGAATGGAATGTGGCTTCCTTATCGCTATTCCTCTTCTCAACCCACAAATATGCAGATTGATCAATTAGTTTATGATTTTTCTAGAACCATTAGATTTAAGGCTTAAAACTTGAACAAATGAACAATAACTGCCTAAAGAAAAAGGGTAAACAAGTCAAATAAGATCAAGAATGAGAAGAGCCACTAAAAATCTAGTAAAAAGCTCTCAGTCGAACTCACTTTTCTTCGGCTCGCTGTCGAATTTTTCGCTTCGCTCCCGAGGGACTCCGGTGCAACATCTGAGGTAAATCGTGGTTAAGAACAACGGTTCGAGCCGGCTAAATTTCAGGATTATTGTGATTTCATCTAATTTCATCATTTCATCTAAAATAAGCCTTTCTGAGATAGAAAAGATTTTAAAGAATTGATTTAAAAGTGAAAAGAAATCTCTTAGAGAGACCAAGATAGAGAAATCACTTTTTGTTGATCATAAAAGTCGGCTACTTGAAGGAAACTCTTATCACTGAGTTGAAGTTGAAGTTAAAGGATTGTCAAACGATTGAGAGTAAGGTTTTTGATTAGAGAATTTTAGAAATGATAGAGAAAAAGATGACGGTATCTTGGTTTTCGCAATCGAATCGTTTTTGATTCAGATCGAAACTCGAAAAAGCTCGTCAAACGAGTCAAACTAGTCAAACGTCAAATGAGTCAAATGAGTCAAATGAGTCAAACGTCAAACGAGTCAAACGATTCGAAACAATTCGAGGAGATCGACTTTAACTGGTAGTTTAGTTGGTTGAAAAGTGATTTTGTTCACCAATTAGTAAACGATATTTGGTGACTTTTTCACCAGCCATCCCTCATATTTGTGTACATTTCTCACCCTTTGCGAGCGCATCCCATTTCTGAGTCATTCACCTCTCTTTCCCCCATCAAAGCACAACAAATCTATCTCTTTACAATAGCAAGACCACAATTTTGCTTTAGAGCAAAAAAGGAAATTCTTTTATAAGAGCTATAATCTAAACGATGAATACTACGACCATTGTAGAGCGAACGGAACGAACGGATTATAGCAAAACCAGCGTGAATCAGTCACTGCCTTGAATCAGTCATTGCTTACGATTGATCAACTTATCATGATAATACTCAGCCTGAATCAGTCATTGTCTTGAATCAGTCATTGCTTACGATTGAACAGCTTATCATGATGATACTCAGCCTGAATCAGTAACTGCCTTGAGTCAGTCATTGCTTACGATTGATCAACTTATCATGATGAAAACAATTTGACTTTTTCAACGATTTAAATAATTCTTATCACTTAAAAAAGATCTACAACCAATTTGAAACAAAAAAAAAACAGAAAATGAATCATTCAATGGCAAAAGAAAATCTTTAGCTGCAAAAATTCCCAGCGATTTGAAGGGAGTGGGAAATCATAAGGTGCCACCATTTTTTCGTAAAGAGAGTCGATCTTTTGTGGGATTCTTTTTAAGATATCGTTGCTTTTGTTTTCGTGCCCTTTGAAAAAAAAAGGATAGAGAAAAGGGAAAAGAAAAAAAAAAGCCGGTGTGAACAACCTGTTTCAAGTGCATTTCCTTCTCAATCCTTCTCCGAATAAAGCCAATCCATACCCTTTCCTTTCATCCATCAACCCCATCTCAAATTTGATTGCAGAAAAGAAAATTTTAAGTAAATGTTATTGAAGATGGTTGTATTATAGATTAAAATGAAATTTGAATAAGATCCAGGCAGATTTTCTAGATCTACTTCAAATCACTGAATCTTTAGCTAACTAGCTTGCTAGCAAAGCTTGTTAGCTTTGCTGAATCAAAGCTAGGTTACCATTTGGTTAACTACTTTGTTAACCTTACTGTATCAAAGCTAGCTTACCATTGGTGGCTCGCATTTTGTCGAAATATTCGTAATCGATGTTAGAACTACGGATTGAAAAAGCATAGAGTCGAATGAAACAAAATGACAGTAGGGGAATATTTCTAATGGGCTAAAGATCGAGATTTGCGGATTTGAGGCTGGGCACTATCGAATCTTCCGGGGGGCAAGAAGTCTGGAGAGGGTGACGTCGAGGGGCACGCTCTCCACCATCTCGAGAGTCTAGACCACCCCCACTGTGCAGAGAGTGACTGCCCTTTGCACCTCTCATCCTATCATGTCAAGCACTTGGAAAAACTCTTTTAGCTCAAAAAAAGAACTATCTTACAATAGTTACCGTATTTACTCGAATAGAAGACCGGCCTTGATTATAAGACCGTCTCGAATAGAAGACGGGGTCTAGGGGATGATCGAAAAAATAGAAGACCGGTCTTCTATTCGAGTAAATACGGTAGATGCGAATTTCCATCTGGAAACTAACAAGGGAATGGTTTGAAATGAATATAACCTTTTCAGATGAGTCATACCTCATTCGAAAGATCTCATAATGAATTTTGATGACCAAAATGGCCATAAAAAGTTCCAGTTGTAGCTGTAGAGTTACTTTGATCATCAATATTTATCATAAGATCTATTTAATGAGGTATGACTCATTCCAAACGATCATATTCACTTTTGGCCATTCAAACCATGAGAAATTGGCAGATTTTACATAAAAGTTTGCAAGCAATGGTCATAAAAGAAATGGTGGTTGTGTTGAGGCCACCTGGTGGGGGTAAAGGAAAAGTAAAGAGGTTGGAGAGGCAGAGAAAAGGGCACAGGCTACCCCCTAGGAATCTCAAGGCCATTTTGCTCAGCCATAAAAATCATTACATTGTTTTAAAAAGTATTTAATTATTGAAACTTAGTGCAAAATTTGACAAAGCACTTGAAATTTGACAATTTGACAAATTTGACAAAGCACTGAATGTTTAAAGTTAAAGTTAAAGGTGAAGTCAGAGAAAAAAAGTCGAGCAATAGTTCTTGGTTAAAGAAAGACTGAGAACCGTGCCCTTTTAGCATCGTAATTATTGTTCTTCGGTATTCGGCGGAGGTGGAGGACGATTCGAGTGTGTTGCCTTGTGTGTCGGCTAGATGGAAAGAGGAGAAAATGCCGTGAACAAGAACATTCACTCACCCTCTTACACACCTCCAAATAAACTAATATATTCACTGTTTGCTTTGGCATTTCCTTTAAAAATAGCTTATTATTTTTGTAGACTTTGAAAAAGCTGGACTCAGATTGATGACATTGATTGATGACAAAAATTTGGGCGGTAACTTAAAGATAAGAAAGATAAAGATTAGAAAAAGAGGTTCAAATTTTTACGAAAAGTCGAAAAGTGGCAAATTTTCAGTATAACGAAATCTAGGAAAGATAGTTTTATAAAAAAAAAACTATAAATAAACTAACTCGAAGACAATGATACAATCTTTCGAGTCTGGATAAGGGAAGGTGAGTGCGAAAGAGATGGGGTGAAGGGGTGAAAGGGGTGGAGGGGAGCAGAGAAGGAGAGACATCGACCCGACGGGGACACAACCAATGGGAAATCGATTGTACGCTCTCAATCCCTTCAGGTGAATGAGTCACCTTTTCACCCTCACTCATACAGCCACTCTATACATAGAGGCACCTGAACCTAGATCCGAACTCTCATAAAGGCTCTCAACTGATGAAGGCCATTCCTGAGAGTTTGTAGAACTTTATTCTTTACTATAAGTGATTTTTGTTGAAAAGTTATTTGATCTATGATTTAGATTTGGTTTAGCTTTGGTTTAGAATTGATTTGATTTGATTTAGATTAGATTAGATTTAGATTAGATTTAGATTTGATTTAGAATTGGTTCAGATTTGGTTTGATTTAGAGTTGATTTAGGTTTGATTTGATTTAGATTAGATTAGATTTAGATTTGATTTAGAATTGGTTCAGAATTGGTTCAGATTTGGTTTAGATTTGGTTTAGATTTGGTTTAGATTTGATTTAGAATTGGTTCAGATTTGGTTTGATTTAGAGTTGATTTAGATTTGATTTAGATTTGATTAGATTTAGATTTGATTAGATTTAGATTAGATTTAGATTTAGATCCTCGATCAGCTCAATGCTTCAACATTTTCATATTGCCAAAATTGAAAATCTTGTAACTTTTAAACTTCTAAACTTCCATTTTCATCATTTCAAGACTAACTTTTCATACAAACTGAGATAAAAAAAAACGATTTCCTTTTCAAAAGTATCTTGTTAGCAAGAAAAATGAGTAAAAAAGCTTGTAAGTTATTAGAAAAATAATAAAACTGATGTAGAATGACTTTTATTTTAATATCTAAATGTATTCTATTCTTTTTCAAAATCTCACCATGACTTGTTTATAGAATTTCTCGGTGGCTGCTCGATTGTGTTTGGCTGATGTAAGGGTGTCCATATCGTATTCAATTGACATCTAAAGCCAAATATTCATAAAATTATGGAAGAAATTAAAAATCGTAAAAAAAATCGGATGGTGTTCAAAAAAAAGAAAAAAAGAAATCGAAGGGGGGGAAAATGATAGGGGCAGTGATGGGATGGTTTGAGATAACACTGGAATGCATTCCTTCTTCACTCCTTCCAACACTCATATATCGATGACTCATTATCATTTAAATATTAACATCTTGTCTATCAAATAATTCAAGATTTCATTTTGAAAGATTTAGAATGAATGAAGAAAAGAATAGAAAAGAAAAGTAGAAAAGGATTATGGATAAAACGCAGAGTGTGTTCCTTGTGAGTTGGCTGGGTGTGAGAGCGAAAGCTGTAGAGTGTGTTCCTCGCGAGTAAGTAATTTTTTCAAAACAATGGCACCACACTAAACGATCATGCTATTTCTTTATGCAAATGTTAAAATAAATAAATAAATTGAGCAATTGGTATTGTTAAATAAGCTTTTTAACTAGCTTTTAACTGTGTTCCTCGCGAGTAAGTAATTAAGCTCGAGTAAATTTGCATGAGTACTTTTTTACTCGATTAATAGCTCGAGTAATTGTCGAGTAATGCGTTTTTAAAAAAGTTCGCTTGCGCGAAAAAAATATAAAAGCAATTTTTTGCGCAGGCTTTTCAAAAAAAAAATCATTTTTTACATTGGACGGGAATTTCGCCATCAAATCAGTTAAACGGCTGAGTATCTTTAAAAAGTGTCGTATATAACGCGGGGCTCGTCATTTTTGCGTCATTTTTTTGCAATAATTTTTGCTAAAAGTATGGTAATTTTTTTGCCAAGTGTGCTTTTTAAAAAACGCATTACTCGCCAGGAACACACTCTAGTTAGATTGCTAACGGGACGCGTATCAAATTTCCGATAAGCCAAAAAACATACCGTAAATACTGTAATAGTGCCCCACCCCCGGTCGTACAGTCGCGTAGTCGCAAAAGTTTTTAGTATTTCATTTTTCTCAAAACGCCCGTACTTTCAAAAAATGCGTCTTTGGTATGAAAAAATAGCTGAAATTCAGGGCTATTTTTTGATACCTAAGCGCGCATTGTAGCATAAACCAGTGTCGAGAAAAACTCGTTCAAAGCTAGACTACGCAACACTCCGCACCGTCATTATGGGAGTGGGGTACTATTACAGTATTTACGGTAATAATATACTATAATTATAGAAAATTATCGAAACTTTACTTCTTTCTTTTTTTCTTTAGGTTTGCTGCAACAGCTGATGGTGCCAATATCACAATGCCGAAAGATCAATACGAGACTCAACCACATACACAATACAAGATTCGAATATTTGGTAACACGCAGAAATATTTTTTCAAAAGGATTATGGGTAAAACGCCTTTACTGTCAGTTAAAGTATGTTTTCGATTCACTATTAGCCATCCTTGGCGATTCATTATTAGTCACACAATGAAATTCTTCAGACAATTTACTGAATAAAGAAAAAGCGATCTTTTGAAAGCACTACACAATGATATGTGTTTAAAACCTAAAAAAAAAAGAACGACTATGACTATTCTTTTGCTTCAAATTTCAATTCATTTACATAAGGCTGATGATATTTTCAACCGTTCCTTTTTTATTGCATTTCTCTCCGAATCACACACCTTTACAGCGCAAAAACTAATCGAGAAATCAGTGAATCACAAAATGTGTCATCGTACCATCAGAATTTTGCTTAAAATATATAAAAACCGAAGATAAATCGATCTTTAGAATTGTTTATGATCGGTTAAATTATCAGAAAAACGATTACTTAGGTTATAACACTATTGGATTTGTCTAATCTTAAAGCTTAAAGCTAAACGAGAACCGCTTTTCAGTTAAAAACATTAAAAACAAAAGCCAGGCAGGCACCCTTTAAAAAAGCAATTAACAAAAATCAAACAAAATCAAACAAAAATCAAATCAAGTGAAAATGATTTAGGGATGAGGAAGATAGATCTGATTGAAATCTCAAAGAGGAGAAAGATTTTGCCCTTTTCGAGCAGTTCACTCACTTGATCGTATCAAAATGGAGACGAGAAAGGGGAAATATGGAAGGGGAAAGGGTGGACGAGTCCCTCAAATGATATGTGCATAAGGGATCGAGCCCACCCTTTCCTTCAAGTTCTCCTTTTTCTTTTTTTCCTTTCTTTCTCTCATTAAAACTTCAATGCACTGATGCTAAAGGCTTTTAAGGTTTGGCTTTTAGTTTGCTTTGGCTTTGCTACGGTTTGCTTTGCTAAGGCTTTGGCTTTGCTAAGGCTTTTAAGGTTTGGAAAAGTAGAGAAAAGTAGAGAAAAGTTTTGATTTGAAAGTACTGAGAAATTTGATCATTAAAACAGAATATGGACAGGAAAATCATCAAAATGGGAAGTAAAGTGAATCAAAATCAACTGGAATCATCAAACTGAGAAGTAAAGTAAAAGAAAATGTAATGAAAATGTAATAAGCTGAAAAATAGAGTGATTGAGTGTCTGTGAATAGTCTGTGAATAGAAGTAAAATCTAGACTCGAGCTGGTAGCTGGTATTCCGTCTTGCCAATCGGCCAAGCAATTCCAATACAAAAGCGACAATTGTCGTGTCAATGTCAGTACAAAGAGAGGTGAAAGATGTGAAAGGATGAAAAGGGGAAAGGATCCGGTTGGGTCTCTATTGAGCTATTTGTTGGGTCTCTATGGGGTGACCCCAATAGATTCGGCTTCTCACAATTGAATGAATCAAAAAGATTTTTTTTTGTTTTGTTTTTTTTTTGAAAGACGTGCTCTTGAGGTGAAACAATGAAGTCAACGCAAAAATTCAGCGCCGAAAACTGCCCTTCAGCTAGCTTCCTGTGCAAATAAACTTCCTGTTTTTTCAAACTCAAATATTTATTTCCTTTTTCTTGAGCTCTTTCTCGGTTTTGCTTCTGGAAATGATTGGAAAACGATAGAAAGAATTGTGATTGAAAGTTGAACTTGAAAAAGTTGTTTTAGACGATAAAGAATTTGATCAATACTACTCATTTCCTCTAATAAGCCCCCAACTTTAAACGCCTCGTTCTCAGTCTCATTTTGATCTATTCTTATGTTTAATAGACCAAAAGATAGAAGACATTAAGAGGTATTTTTTGGTATATTAAACATAAGAAGATGTCAAAATGGGGCTGAGAACGAGGCGTCTAAAGTTGATCGGATTGCGGGGCGGTTATTAGAGGACCAACTCCCCTCGACTAACTTCAGACGCCTCGTTCTCAGCCTCATTTTGAGCTATTTTTATGTTTAATATACCAAAAGATAGAAGACATTAAGAGGTATTTTTTGGTATATTAAACATAAAAAGATGTCAAAATGGGGCTGAGAACAAGGCGTCTGAAGTTAAGGAGGTGCTTATTAAAGGAAATCTTTCTTTGCCTCTGGAAATGATTGGACCTTGGAAATCAACCCTTCACAGTTCTGCATTGAAGCTAGAAATATTTCATTTCTCTTATAAGAAAGACATAAGAAATCTTATAAGAAAGACAACACTGGAAAAAAAAAAATAGACTCGATGCTAGTGCTAATTTACTCGATTTTGACCCCATTGTAAATGAGATAATCCTTTTTTTGAGTGAAAAGTCGTGGGCAAATTGTTTGGAACTTATTTTTCGTTGGCAAAATTGAGTTAACAAAATTTTACTTGGATTGGAAAACGATAGAAAGAAATGTGATTGAAAGTTGAACTTGAAAAAGTTGTTTTAGCGTTGTCAAAGTTGTCAAATAAAGAATTTGATCATTACTAAACGAAAAGATTCGATTTAGTAAAGTCAATCACTCTTTCAGTGAAGCTGAATACAAGAGTGGCTTTATGAGAGCACTCTCACTCCGTTTGCTCACTCATCAAAGCCAAATTTGGCCTTCAAAGTCCACAGTGTCGAGGGGAGACACTTTATTTTAAGCGTTTCTTCATAAATTTCCCATAAACATTATAATCAGTTCAAGTTATTTTTCAAGAAAAGATGAAAGACTCTAGAATTTCAAAATATAAAAGTAAAGATGTAGTTAAAGAGTTAGATCTAATTGAAACTCTAGTAGGTCAAGTACAAAGAAGTTCTATACAAAGAAGTTCTATACAAAAGAGATTCATCAAAAAAGATCCATCAAAAAAATGGCCTCTAAAATGTGAATCAAATCTCGAAACTCTTTCGGCCATTGAATTTGGCATTTGTGCGAGATTGGAATGGGATCGGTTGGGCGGTGTTGAAGGACATCATTTGTACATTTCTTTTCCCTCATTCAACTTTACATTTCGAGTTGTGAATCGAGAGGATACCCTGGAATGGATCTAATTTTTTTTAAAGAAACATGAAAGAGGAGCTTTCTAGAGAAAAGAAAGATTCAGGTCATGTTTGCATTCTTTACTCAATAACAAAAAACATCAAAAACGCGGCTCTTCTTCAAATGTACTTACCGTTGGTAAATAAAATGCCTCAGCTATTCTTCAGCTCAAAAGATAAAGGCTTAGTTTACGATAACTGAGAAAAAGGTTTTTGCAAATGACACGAGGCAGGGGTAAAGTCGAAAGTCGAAACTGGTATTGTAACATTGTTATAAAAGTCAAAACTGGTATTGCAACATTGTTATAAACTTCGTTAAAAGATCGATCACTGAGATTTTTTTTTTGAAAGAAGTGCTCCTGAGGTGAAACAATGAAATCAGCTTAAAATGAATAGTTCCAATCGATTCGCCGATCCTGAAAACCCCTGAGTACAAATTTACAGTTGAACATCCAGGGATTTGTGATTATTGAAGTTTGATATGCATGAACAGAGTACTGTAATTAAAAACTGTAAATCTACAGAGTAGAGTAATTTTCTCTTATACATTTCTAGTTAGCTAAGCCAAATGGTTATTTAATAACAAAAAAAAATGAAAGCCTATACCCTCTCATCGTTCTACATCTGCGCTTTACAAAAGGATGATTTTCTCAAATTTTCTCAAAAACCAAAAGAGTTTACAGTTTCT